TGAGTGTTTCCATACCATGAAGGGCAGTAAGCGCTGGAAGCATGGCTACTTCGCAGCGAAAATTGATATGGCGAAGGCATATGACCGTGTCGAGTGGCATTTTCTGGAAGGAGTAATGAAAAGGTTGGGCTTCGCTGACAGATGGATCCGTTTGGTGATGATGGGAGTAACTACGGTGTCGTACTCGATATTAGTGAATGGGCATCAATCCCAAACTTTCACCCCGAGCAGAGGGATTCGGCAGGGCGACCCGTTATCACCTTATCTCTTCCTGCTTTGTGCGGAGGGATTATCAGCCTATACGACCAAGGCGGTTGAGGAAAAACGGTTGCATGGGCTACAGGTGAAACGGGGTGCCCCGGTGATTACCCACCTCTTTTTTGCTGACGATAGTATCTTTTTTGCCAGGGCTACGCAGGAGGAGTGTCTAGTCTTGAAAGACATTTTGCATGCCTATGAGGTCGAATCCGGCCAGATGGTCAACTTCCAGAAGTCGGAAGTCTCCTTCTCGGCTAATGTGAAAACGCACAGCAAGTTCATCACTAGTGGCACTCTCCAGATGAAACCCGTGGACAAGCATCAGAAGTATCTCGGGCTGGTGACGGAGGTGGGAAGAGCTAAGAAGGATCTTTTTGCAGGTTTGAAAGATCGAGTGAGGCAGAAGCTGAAAGGGTGGAAGGAAAGGATGATGTCGGCGGCTGCCCGAGAAGTTCTGATCAAGGCCGTAGCTCAAGCCCAGCTAACCTACGCTATGTCGGTGTTCAAAATTCCAGATGGAGTTATCGATGAGCTACACAGTATGATTACAAGCTTTTGGTGGGGCCAGAAGAAGAACGAGAGAAGATCACATTGGATCCGGCGAGAAGAACTAGTAACGTTGAAGGAAGATGGCGGCCTGGGTTTTCGTGACCTACGTGGTTTTAACCAAGCACTTCTAGCGAAGCAGCTGTGGTCGTTGCACCAAAGACCCACGTCGCTCATTTCCAGGATAGTAGCTGCGAAGTATCACAAGAACTGCTCTATTCTTGATGCACGCCTGGGAAACCGACCAAGTTTCATCTGGAGGAGCTTGATGAGTGCGCAGGGCTTTCTTTGTGATGGGCTACGCTGGCGGATAGGTAACGGTGGCCAAGTAAGAGTATGGGGAGATCATTGGCTCCCAACTGAACCTCCTTTCGTTGCGTCAGCGCCTACGCATATCCCGGTGGACTCCTCTGTCCGGGACCTTATCGACCCTGAGACAGATAGTTGGAATGTGGATTTGGTAAACACGTGCTTCCCTCCGTCCATTGCGCATACCATTTTAGCGATCCCACTAAGAGGGAGGGAAGAGCAAGACCGGCTGGTTTGGCGACACAGTGAAGATGGGTGCTATTCGGTTAGAAGTGGCTATAGGAGATGGTTGGCGGGCTTCATGCAGGCAGAGGGGATCGCTCCGAGGGGCTCTGCGAAGCTTTGGAAGGCTATTTGGACCCTGAAAGTCCCTCCGAAAGTACGACATTTCATGTGGAAGTTTGCAAGGGATATTCTACCCGGGAGTGAAAGTTGCCGCTAGGAACCCACGATGGAGCGAAGTGTGTCCTTTTTGCAACCAAAAGGAAACTCAACATCACCTCTTCCTCGAATGCAGCTGGATTTGTCGGGTGTGGAGAGGAACGGAGTGGGAGCGAGCTTTTACTATGCACGGGTCGACAAGCAGCATGCAGTGGGTCGAGGAAGTCCTGAAGAAAGAAAACTCTGATATGGTGGAATCTTGGGCAATGATCCTTTGGGCTGTTTGGAAAGAACGTAATGCTCACCTCTTTAACGGGATGAAATGGCCGGAGCAAGAGATAGTTCAGCGTGCTATAACCATTCTTGAGGAGTACAGACAGAATCAAGGCCCTGAGGTGATCGCCTCGGACAGTCAGCAAGGAGATCGATGGACAAGACCGCGAGAGGGCCGCATCAAGCTTAATACTGATGCAGGGATGGTGGCCGATGAAGGTATTGGGCTGGGGGCTGTCTTCCGAGACCATCAGGGGCGTTTCCTAGCTGCCGCAGCCAAAAGAATGCGAGGGCCGTACGAAGTAGAGATGGCGGAGGCATTGGCAGCAGAATTTGGCGCCCAGCTTGCAGGGCAACTGGGTTTTAAAAATCTGCAGCTTGAGGTTGATAGCCAAAACCTCATTGAGAAACTTGGACGAAGCCAGGGGATACACTCGGAGCTTGGTATAGTTTGTCGACGAATCATCAGCCTGCTTCGAGGGACGGACTCGGACCCGAACAGCATAACCCATGTGAGACGAACGGGGAACGGCGCGGCGCATATTATGGCTCATCATGAAGTTCGGTGGAACAGTAGAGAGGTGTGGCTTGACTTGCCACCGGTTTTCTTATTGACCAACTTCGGTTGGATGATGTAACCGTTTCACTCTGATCTTTGTAGTAACAGGTTACCCGTCAAAAAAAAAAAAAAAAACCCTGTTGTGACGAAATATATACAATAAGGAAACAATCTCTTTCTTTCTTATTCATACTTAACCTACTATACGTATATATTTGCTTAGCTTTGACAATTTACCTATTTAGGTAGGGTTTTTTTAAAAGCAAATTAGGTAGGTAGATTATAATTCAATTTCAATCCCTGTTTCTGATGATCATATGCTCAATCAGTTTATCTCAAGGAATTTACTCAATGGGGAAAGAATTGTTTAATAATAGCTAGGTTAGGTTATCTTATTACTCAAAGGCTTGAGGGTTTCCCTCGATGAAATCCACTTGTCTATCTATCTATAAAATACTTAAAGCACTTTAAGAAAAACCCCATTGACACGTCAGCCTTGAGAGGCTCTCCGCAAGTTTCGATTTTTTTCATTTTAAATTTTTTTCCTTTACCACCGACGGTTAACCGCCAGCTATTTTTTGGCCTTCTTATTACTTCATTAAACTTTCTTATCAGCCCATTTTATTGAAATTTTTGTAAAGGTAACACCGTTTCAGTGCTTTTAAAATATAGATTCATACATTTTTAATAACCGAGAATGGCTTCTATTCTTCTTTTTTTTTACTGTTTCTATTTGGAGAACGGACTCAATTTTCTTAAAATGAGTTTTTTTTTCAATTTACATTAGGACTGTATATATTTTATTTTATGTTAGAAGAGCGGAAGGAAAGACTTGAACCCTCAACTTTTATTCCACCAAAATCAATTTCACACACAAGCTATTACAAATTTAGAGGAGAACAGAAATTAGATCAAGAATATTAATCCAGTCTTCTGGTAGGATAGATTTGGCTTTTGATCGTGCAACCCAATCAGCTCTGACATTCATTGTCCTCGGGACATCTTCCACTGAAATGGCTGGGTTATTCCTAATCAATGATCAAGCATTTTTACTAAGAATTTTTCGGATATCAAAAATTTCAACAACAATAAATTTGGATTTCATTCGATCCATAGATAGAGATTATAAATTTGGATTTATAATTTTGAATTTGAAACTGTTAACATAAAATCCTATGATGGACATCATAACCTTCCACACCATGAGTTACCATTTCATAATTACAAAATCAGAAGCGTGCAGAGTAAATATTGGAAATTTTCATATTAAGCAAATCCCAATTTGAATTCAAAATTGAACCAATATAATCATTATCCCTCTATCCATGTTAGAATGTTCTCTAAAGAAATATGTGTTGCTTAAAATAAGGATAGCAATTATTGAATGAGGGATTTCGATTTTGGTTAAGAAATTCATCAAAATAGTTCCCAACTTCCCGGCCAACAGGACGGGTACAAAGCTAGTTTATTTAAATTTGTTTTTACGAAAATTATAACTAGGCATTTGCGAGAGTCTTCAGCCAGCTGATTTAATTTGTACTAATTAATTGTAAAAGCCCCAAAGAAGGGAAATGTAATTAAATAAGGACTTCCTGTCCCGGAGATGACCAATCACGACAAAGACAACTAAAAGTATGAAATACAAAGTGGAATACATTTGGAAAATTCGATGTCCATTGTCAAATTAGATATTTATATAAATATCCCTTTTAAACTTATATGATGATAAATGAGGATGATAAACATAAATTAGGTGAAAATACATCCCAATATTTATATCAGTTTAATTACATATCTCATGATAGATCGCGATATGTGCGTGTAACATAACAGTATAAGGTTTATTTCTGGTCATCTTTCGGTATACAACGCTAAGTTACTAGAACGATGAATTACTTTTCATTGCTGTATTGAATTTTTTTAAAATTAAAATTTTTGTTTTTGAATCTTACCACCTTCGACATCAATAGCTAGCTAATTAACGCATAAGATGTATAAATATTTTGTTGTTACTTTCAACAATGGCGAATGATAGGGACATATATATGCTTACTATGCAATGTTTGTGGTAGCTTCGACCAGGCAGAAAAAAAGAAAGAAGAGTGACTAACTAATCAAAGAGAACTGTCGTAAAATTTAATTAATTTTTTTTTAACTCTTATAAGATGGCCACATTTTGACCTATATTGTCCCACCATTAATTTTTTTTTTTTAATAATTCTCTTGTTTAACTTGGCATTTATTCTTGTCCTGGTGTGATTATAATCAATCTCCTGAATGCATTTGGAAAACCGAATCTATATGTTGAATGAGTAATCATATTGATAAACTAATAATCGCACTAGCTAATTAATTAAGCTAGCTTGTAGCTTTTCCAATACGATAATTTCTAACTTTTTCTACATAGTTTCTTGCCCTTGGGCTTTAGTTACTAAAAACAACTTGTTCAGTCTTTGCTTTTTATCTATTTTTAACATTAATTATACATTATTTTTCATAAAATTTCCCGCCATCGACTCCAAACTTTGCTAGAATCTCTCTAACCTTCTAAAGAATCATCGATGCATGTAAATGTATGTATTAGTTGTCCTTTATCTTGTTCCCACCAGAGCCCAACAAATGGTACCTTGCCCATTGTAACAAAATTTGGAATTCTATTATTAGAATTTTGTAGGGCAATAATTAATTCATGATATACTCAATCCATATCCGTTAACTAACTGCTATTTAAGAGTTTACCGATAAAACTGGAACGATACAGATAATATCAATCAACTAGCTAGGTTCTATCGACTGTAAAGAGTCATGGAAGCTACAATAACATGTGTGCTAGCTACTAGAAAGAATGTAGTTCACCAAATCAAATGGAGTCTTCAAATTCATTAATCTTATGTGTTCCTGATCACGAATAGGGCATTGTTATCTACGATCTACCCTGCACGCTTGTCGCTGAACACCTGGATACGCTTCTTAGCCTTCGAAGTCACTTCTCGCACTTTTCTTCGCGAGAGATCCTTCCCCATGGAAGTAGAAACTGGAGTGTAACGTGGAGCTCGCGACTATCGTTAACAGCGCGAGTGTTTCTCCTCGCCCTCCTCTTCATACATCAGATCTGATAGTTAAAACTGTACCGAAACAAGGAGGGTGCAGGGGGTTGGTGATATCTACATCTGTGTACTACCTGCAGATATTGTGCATATCAGCAAAAAGAGTTTTTTTTTTTGCAGCAACGTTCAGTCCTCTGCTCCTCGTAGTAGTAGTAGTAGTAGTAGTAGGAGCATTTCTCTGCCATTGCTTTCGCGGAGCAACTTATTCTTGCAGCAATGTTCAGCAACTGGAGCCCTATTTGCTGTTTATACTTTGTGCTACAAAAGTCTGGGGGAAAAAAACATAACTTATTCTTTCCCATAAAAGACTCGACTTTACCACACTGCACAGAGTGAAATCTATCTGGGTCTGGCCCTTATTATTCCTTCTGTTTATTTCTATTCATCTTTCCTCTACTTAATGATCATCACTTCAACGAGTTCTCGATATCGATCACAAACCGGTACTTCACGTCTCTGTTTATCAGCCTCTCGAGCGCCTCGTTGACATACTGGATTGGAATCACCTCTGTTTTGGGGTAGATTTTATGTGCAGCACAGAACTCCAGCATCTCCTGTGTCACCCTTGTTCCACCAGTTACACTACCAGCAACTGTTCTTGAACCTACAACCCACAGGAACAAGATTTACAAATCGTCAGTAAGGATTGTCAGCTTAGTCTGTACATCAGCTAGAAGTTTACTTGACTGGAAGTTAATATCTTCTAAATGAGTTGAGGGAAGAAGAGAACTACCGAGTAGGAGGCTTGCTGGACTAAATTTCACTTCACTTGGGAAGCCCACAAGGACAAGAACACCCCCAGTCTTCAGAGTAGACATGTACGGATCAAATGGGTGATCGCCAGATGCAGTGTCGATGATGAAATCCAGAGATTTATACAATGCCTGCATGAAAAAAGTTCCGTGTTAACGCTGCAATAGCATTAGCCAGCAGGAAATATTTAGGTTCAGTTTTAATCTACGAGCTTCGCTCGTAGAGGATAGCACTGACCTTCATCTGCTCCCCATCCGAGGAGACAACAAACCTGTCCGCACCAAGCACGCTCAATGCTTCCTCTTTCTTCGATTCGCTTGTGCTGAAAATCGTCACATTCAGCCCAAAAGCCTTCCCAAACTTTACTGCCATGTGCCCAAGACCACCAAGACCAATAACTCCCAAGGATTTACCAGGCTGATTCATTTTATGACGAATCATGGGATTGTAAACAGTAATTCCAGCACAAAGCAAAGGAGCAGCATATTCCAAAGGATAGCCCTCAGGTATTCTGTAGCAGTATCTGCAGACAAAAAAAGCTCAAACTATTGTTTGAATATAACCAGGAAAAGAACCGCTGTTCACAAAGGTGAAGTCAAACCCTATATAAAAAGAAACCACTGCCTGCTCTCAAACTTAAAAAGTACAGGACACATGTTAGAAATGACTGAATATCCATGCAAAATGATGATTTCTTACCTTTGGTGCACAACAATGTAGCTAGAATACCCTCCTTTGGTGATTGTCCCATCAGAATCAGCACCATTAAAGGTGAATACAGATCCTTTAACGCAGTTGACTTCATCCCTGTCATTGCAATAGTCACACTCCCTGCAAGAGTTAACAAAAGTGCCTACTCCAACATGGTCACCAGGTTTAACTTGGCTCACATTGGGACCAACTTCTTCTACAATTCCAACGATTTCGTGCCTGTTCAGGTTGAAAGCTGGTCATATTAGCTCAAGCAATTAGACAACAACTAATGCTAGCTTCGAGGAGCAGGAAGCATACCCTGGCACCAATGGATACTTAGAATCATGGTGTTTATTCCTGGTCCAGACGACATCCGCATAGCATACTCCACAGTGAGTTATTCTGAGGGAAACATCATCCTCCCTGATTGACCTGTATATGTTCCCATCCCATATAATATTTTTATTAGTTTCAAGCGTAGAGGAATCCACACTCTCAAATTATATGATCATGACTTGATTGATATAACATCATAGGAAACCCATCATCTTGGAGAAGTTAAAAGATAAGCAAAGCGAGTTGCTGTTAACTATCTCCATATGGAGAATCATTCAGAACATGGAGGCAGAGCATGATCAATAAAGGGGCTGTTGCACTTGCTGCTGCCAATGTGAATATTCAGCCTCTGATGCTAGAAAATGTTAGATAACATCATAACAATGGGAATGACATGGGTTTTCAAGAATTGTACAAACTACTGTATCTATCAAGTGTTCAACAGCGCGTACCTGCGGCTGAACTTGTAGGGGGATAGAACTCCAGAAGGATCTCTGGCTGCCCATGCAAGGCAATCCTCTTTAACATTCTCAGAAATCATATTGGTCGAGTATATTTCAAGCTAGAAACTGTAACTCCACCTGGAAATTGGAGACCCAGAACAAGCAACAGAATGATCAAACGAGAATCCCTGACGAAATTTCTAACAAGAACCCAGACCCAACAAGACATAGACGAAACTTAATCAAAAAGCCACGTATCTACCTGACTGTGGATCGGGAAGCACTGCTTTGGCGGTCTCGGTGGTCGCAATTGCCAGCGGTTACAGAAAAGATGGTCTGTATTTATGTTTGACAGATGAGAGACGAGAAATGGAGGTTGGCTCACCAGTCTCAAGCAGCGACTAAAAAAAGAAGAGTTAAGACTCTAGAGGCAAAGTCAGCAGCAGCCACCGCCAGAACTACGAGGCGGAGGAGAGGCCACGACACCGTCGACGAGTGTACTGTCAGTGGCAGTGAGTGATGTAACTGGCGAAATAAATTCCTGAGTGACGGACAGATGTCGCGGCGAAATCTACTTAAAATTACTTCGCTTCATGATAAAATTACTTCCAGGTAAAAGGACAGTTGGCTAGTAAACAGCATCTCATATTTTCCCTTCCTTTTGAGGCTAATATTTTCATTTGCCCTTCTAGTAACTAATGAAGTAAAAGTAAAAACCCTCCTCCAAAGGGTGACGGGATACAAAACATGAAACATCAGACGCATTCGCCTAGCAATCCAACCCCAATCAAGAACACTGCTCCAAGAACCAAAATATCCCAATACAGATCGGCCCTACATTATTACTACTAGTAAGTGCGGGAAATTTGCAACCAATTTACCACCAATGAGGAGTTGACATGGCCATTCCCTGCCAAATTTGGGGAGCAGCAGTTCAAACCAACAATGAGCAAAGCATCTGCATCCAAACGACGAGAACAAATGGCGATTGCTGCTCGAGCTGCTGCGAATGCAATCTAGATGCGGTTCTTTTTCTTCTTCCTGATGATGGGTTTCTCGGCGCTGAGGCTCAAACCATGCGAATTGGGAGCGGGAGCACTCTGTGGGTCTTCAGGTAGAGTGCAGTGCATAAACTTCTTGTTGGATCCAACCTGGGTGCACAGCAGCTTCAACATCTTTCGTCCCCTCATCCACTTAAGCATGATCTTCATGTGTGTTTTGCTGTTCAATCCACTGATATTAGCTTCCTGTTAAGAAAGTAGCGAGCACGAATTAACATGGTTCCTTCAATCAATCCTGCAATGCTATTTACCCAAATAAGATAACAGTCACCACCTCTCACATTACTAATGCATACCCATTATACAGGGGGAAAGTAAAGCAACAACGAGAACCATGGGTGGTTACTGAATGGTCAAGATATGCAGACTTAAAGTTGAGACTGTTCTGCAGCTTTCTTTACCATGAATAGCTCATTAGCTGGGAAGGTTAATAACGCGGAATGATAAACGAAACAAGCATAGCAGACAAGATCACGGCTCCAATGAACGCAAGGACATGCAATGTGATTATATGACAACCCAAAACACAAAATTATATATAATGTAACCCAACCCCAGAGACTTACAGCAGTATGAACATGGCAATGAACTGGGTAACGATCAAAATCAGCAAAATATGTGGAATGTATAAGAATGCTAAGGCTGTTTCAGTCAAAAATAGCTAAGAGCTAAAGCAACCATCCAACGTCATAGCACTGTTCAGGCAATTGGATCATTATCTCCATGAAACAGTACTTCTTTCCCTTTTCCAAATGAGTAGTTGGTCACACTCACACACACACACTCGAAATGAATCAAATTGAAAAGCGAGAATGCACCTTAGCGAGGTTCCATGTATTGGGGACGGTGAGGGGGCCATTCTGCTTGATGATGTTGTACAGTGACTCGGAAATCGCAAAAGCTTCCGGGAAAGGGACCTTAGGGTTTATCTTCCTCACGTTGACGGCGCGTTCTTTCGAGAAGTACCTAACCAACGCATTCTTAATCAAACCGCCGGCGCTTCCACCGCCGGTCAACCCCCACCTCATATTCCTTCTGTAGTTCCTTCCTCCGTCCTCTCTCGGAAAAACCAGCCGGCGGCCAAGTCGGGGATTGAGACCTGAGCTGCCGCGTTTCGCCTGCTCGCGGTTTGCAGTTGGAGCCTGGAGGCTGGTGCTCAGGGGAGATCGATTCTCGTTTCGTCAAATTCGATAGACATGGGCCACATGTAAGATGGCCCAATGTTGAATCCAATGCAACTATGCGGCCCAAGATCAATTATCATTACCAGGCTGGGATCTATAATCTGGGCCGTCAGTGGGATGAGATCCACGTGTGAAGAGGACAGAAGTAGCAAATTACAATCCATAACACTTAAAATTTATTCACTCAATAATATTTACCTAATCCAAATCTATTTTCTTCATTGTGCCAATTCAATTGGAAATCAAATACATTGATTAGATATCGTAAGGTTTATGTTTGTGAAATTATAGAGGTTGCAGAAGATTTTGAATATGTAAGCTGAGTTATAAATCACAAGCTCTTGCTCTTTTACAACGATATAGGGACGCTCTTTCGAGTACAATTGGTTTTGGTTTTTCTGTGTGCTCACTCCGAGTTCATGTCGAACTTTTTCATACGCAGAACTGACGATGCTCGTGCTTCCTAGTAGCTTAGCCACGCTTCGAGTACTGTCTTCATCTGCCGAAGCCTAAGCACACATTTCGCTATAGGACACACTTCCTAAATCCTAAATATAATTCACATTGTTATTCAATCGTCAACCCGGCAGCAACGTCAAGTCCTCAACTGTAAACAAAACCAAAACCAACTGGAAATCAGGAGCTAACCCCCATCAGGCAAAAGTACAACCTATAAACAGCCACTCTGATGGACCAACTTATCCGATCATTCTATCACTTCCCAACCTAAATCTCTTTACCTTCTTTTTCCAAACTTCTCTCGAGGGAAACATGAGAGAAGCACATCCGATCCCGGTCGGCATGTTCACAGCAAGAACCTTATAAGAAGATATTTCCGACAGGTTTTCAGAAACCACCTTAAACAGAGGGTGGAAATGTCGCGAGTGACATCTCATGGCTTGCTTTAGCCAGCACAAAGTATAAATCCTACCAAACTAAGTGGCTTTTGCATTCAATCCAACTCTGGCTTACTCTTAACCCTCTTCATTTTGGCTTTGAACCTCGACTTCGTCAGCAGTGTCTGTACCGTGTTGAAGAAGTTCCCCACGGCCATCAGGACCAGAAGGAATCCGCAGAAGATCACCTATCACCACATTCTCACCAATCACTTAAACTGCATTATGGTGAAATGGTAACTCCGAAATTTTTGCTGGTTTCTCTCGGCAGAAGATTACCTGCCACTCAGTGACGACCCTCACGAATGCAGTCATCAGCAACTGCAGCCCAACATATGCCTCGAAACCCTATAAGCAAAACCAAGTATTGCCAAGCAATTTTAGTTAGGACCAAGAGTTCCTATGATATGGTAAAAGTGAAGTTTCTTCATTCTCAAATTTTAACCAAGAGTCGAAACGTAACTAATAAACGCTCTCTCACCTGCAAAATGAAGAGAATGGGGCACAACAACCACAATTGGCCATCTACACCTGCAGTTTCACCCCACACGACATCCATTCTCTTGGCCTGAAAAAGCCAATACATGAATGTTCATAAACAATAGTATGAGAAATGTTTGCATATGAATTGGATAAGAGTGTAGCACGCCGCACTGTCCATAACCAAAAGGGCAGGGACTTATTCCAAACACAATCTGGAAATGGATTGCTACAAAGATTCTGATCCTCATGAGAAATAGAATTCTGTTCGAAATTGATTCCCAACAAGCTGAAAAAGTAAATCAAATATGGACTAAGATACTTCTGAACCATTACCTTTCCCAATGCAATTCGAGTATAAAGTCTCTGGCGCTGGTATCTATTCTGTAAAAGCATCGCCACTCCTTGCATCATAGCCCATTGCAAGAAAAGTTGGACCCCTCTCTGTAATAAACACTGGCATTATTACTAGGATAACCACATGTGATAAGCACACTGCAGAAGAAGTGGGAACCTGTTTTGCAGCGCAATTGGGCTGTCCTTTAATCTCCCATGTAAGACTTACTAGGGCCATAAGCATAGCACAATAGTGATGGTATATCCACCTGAAGAAAGAATATAAGTAGACTTGTAAAGTTCTCATGGAATAGGTTAAGCAGCATCTAATCACTTCTCAAATTGTTTTAAGCGCAACCTTTTACTCTTTTTAATTACATGATTTGTGAGGACATTTGCTTATAATCTACAAGAGGAAGCACACATTTGAAGGGAAATTTAACTTAAACGGGCATCAAGAGATACATTATGCATATACATAGTGAATGGACTAACATTATGTGACCATTTGAACCACGGATCTCCTTTACATCATCTAAATAGTCCACCGAACCTAGTCCATCAAGCCTAAGGAATGGGAAGAACACTCTAAGATGAGAATTACAGTCTGACACCATGGATAACACCTGACGTGATTGCACGAAGTGGTGAGATTCCAGCATGTTATCAGCCCAAATGTGAAACCATAGCAAAAACCTCTTAATAGCTTTTCTAAGATATGGGTCATATAATCTTAAATTTAGTTATGTGACAAAGTTTCAAATATTGTATAAAACTTAAACAAGTGAATGCTGCAACTTTCTTCAAGTCGGAGTCAAGACCATAGAATGGAGTCTCACGCAGACTAACATTCATTTTGCAAAAGCTCCCAATTCTTAGTGTATGGAACTAATTTTCTGCCTATACTCCTTCCATACTTACTCAACTCTTACAGGATCTCACCCATGCCAAAGATAGCGTCGAAAGAGAGAGGATCTAGAACTTTAGTAAGCTAACGTGACATCAAAATAGCTCTAGTTAGTTGGACTACTATCTCTCTGTTAAGAAGCAGGCTACCCAATGTCCGGCAAGTTTTTATGTTGAACAAAGAATGGCCTTCCCCACTCGTTACTCTTGTCCACGCAGAAGGGAAATGGATTAATACCATAATTTAAAGCTAGAAAACAGCAAGAATACTTCATCATGGGGATTGGGGACGCATGCCAGTACTGTAAGAATGACAAGAAGCCGATACTGGAAATTGAGAAAAGCCTATGCAGAGAAGATAGCACATCTATTTCAAAATGCCATGAAGCTTGTGTTCCATCGATAAACGAAGGTATCACAAACAAAAAACACCAAATTCGGACACAGAAGGTGTACATTCACGGTTGTTACCTAGAAAGCTGTAGTTCTTTGTATAGTTGGCATATTAGTATTTTCCTCAGAAAGGCCGTCAATAATGTAATTTCAACCACCAGAAAACCATATTTACTTTAAACTGTGTCTGTTGGTCAAGCATCCATCCACAGCTAAAAATTTGAAATCTAGACAATAGTGCAGGTAAATTGTGTCATTTCAGATCAAACATAAGTTAATTGATGAAGGTATTCTCTAACCTGTCACCTATAGCCTATATCACTGCCTTCTCCAATAAGCAAAAGAAGGTATTTTCTTCAAAGCTTTCGGAAGCAAAAATGAAAAGGGAGATAGCAAGGTCCTCAGAATGACAAAGGAAACAAAGTAAGAGAATTGTGTTTAGCCGAGGAAAGGTGGAAACTCTTCACTGAGGGGGGTTCATGTATAAGCGTTAGCGCCTTGCTCAACAAAAAGTCATGAAGACTTGTAATAAGAAAAACCATAGCACTGAGGAGTTTGACTGGAAGTGAGATGAGAGGAGGCAGAAAACATAACAGCGTCCGAAACAGTACTCAACAGAACTAATCTTATTACTTTGTCTCCTAGACCCGCAAGCAGTAACTTAAACTCTTAACCTGTGCAATTACATCAGCAGTTGGTACTAAACAGTACTGAAATCATAATGGTTAATTTCACATCCCATTTTATCATTTATTGTTATTCGTTCATGACACACTTTTCCTCCATGGGCGTGAAGACAATTTAGATTGGCAAAAGAAAATCTATTACTCTATCCATGTCAAAGAATTTTGTTTCACTGCCACCAAGGGATATAGATAGGGGCAAAAGTGCTCTATAGTAACATAATGGTTGGACTCCTTAGTTATGGTTTCCTTGAATTTGGCGAAAGTTAAATAATAGATTAACGCCCCAAAAGAACAAAAAACATTCTGAGTTGGTCTAACGGGTTCAAGAAATGGAGAGTTACGGTGCAATTACCATCGACGAATATCACTTCCATTGACCCTCAGAATGTTTTCTCGCAAGGCCAACCCGGTGTAAAGGAACAATAACCATGCCTGAAGAGCGGGTGGAACAAAAGACAAATATGTTAAGATTGGTCAAGCAAGATCCAATCTAAAAAAAATAGGTAGAATGGAATTACCTGATATAGCTGAACAGGGAACGCTGGCAAGCACCCATTCCACAGCCAAGACCTCAGAATTAGTAGCGCTGATGGGAAAAAAAGAAATAAAAGGGCGGTTCTATCCTGCTCAAAACAGAGAGAGCATTATGAGTAAAGGGTAGGACTCGAGAAACCAACATATGACATTCCAGATTCAAGCAGAACATACCCTGTAACTGTTATACTCTTCTTTAACCTTCAACTGGACATCTTTGCGAGAGGCACGCACGTTAATTGGACCCAGAAACATCCTGAGAAAGCCACCTACAAGGATTAACGGGGCAGTTGCTTAAAGCTTAGTACAGTAGTAAGGACATGCAGTTATGTGAAAGACATCAATTAAGGACCAGGATTCATGGAAGCACTGATTTGGTTAAGCAAAATCTACAACAGTAACCAGCTGGGACTGTAACATTTTGGGGAAAAGGGAATAAGAAATTGCAGCAGCAGAAGGCACAAATTACCTTGGGACTTGTTAGGGAGAAAAGCAGCGGCATCCCCATCGGAAACAACACACTTGGCCCTCTGCAGCTCGTCTTCCAACTGTCACAAGCAATCACTGGGATCAAAACCCACATCATCATAATCAAATCCTGAAGTGAGAGTGAATGCGAATTAATTCAATTGATCAAAATTGCCTTGTCAGCTAGCTTGGCGTCGATGAGGCGGCGGGAGAGGCAGGAGTGAAGGAGAGAACGGCAGCGACGGACCGAAGAGTCGATGGAATTAGCGCGCTGGCGGAGTGACTGCTCTTCGCTGAAGCTCCGGGCGATGTGAGAGGCAGCCGATTCCTGCAGCTGCCTCGCCTCTTCCACTACTCTTCCGACCTCTTCTTCCACCTGGCTAGCGGACTCCTCCGCCGCTGAATTGCCGCCGTCCATTTTTCACTCTGTCGTCTTCTGTTTGGGAAATTTTACTCCTCCCCCCTTCTCCCTTTCTCCGGTGAACGGGTGGCGCGTCGGATCTGAATCGATCGGCTGCGCGGGTAAACGAAACGGAGCAGCGGAAATTCACAGAGCCCCGCTGCGAAAGCGGAGGCCGGATGTTCGAGAAGAGAGAGAGAGAGAGAGAGAGACAGAGTGCCCTTCGCGTTCGCCTTTCTCTCGGTTGCTCTCAGCAGGCCTCAGCGGTAAATACAGTTCCCGAGTTTCCTCCCACCTTGTGTTTTTTTTATTTTCTGGCTGGTTCGCTCGCTCCCAATTTGCATGTTATTATCCTGGTTTTTGTAAGTTGAATATTCTCAAACTTTTGTTTTCAGGCTCCGGATGAATTAAGGAGAATCATAATTGGCAATTCATTCCAAAAAATTATTTTTTGTCAAAAAATTATTCTTTACCAGCCATCGACATGACTTCAGCCGCTGGAGTTCAGTTAATAATTCACTCGGTCATCAAACACCAGAATCAAGCCTGCGATCACCAAACTCCGGATGCTGGTTGTCGAAATCCAACTATCAAAATCCAATAATTAAAGGGTTAAAGACACATTTGGTCACTGAGATTACAAAATCGGGACATGTTTAGTCACTAGAAAAATTTAATATCAAATTTGGTCACTACAATTACTAAAACTGGACGCATTTAGTCACTCGCCGTTAGTCTCCGTCCACCTCCGTTAATAAAGTCCGTTAAGTGCTGATGTGTCAAACAGAATTGCCTAATCAGCCGGATATTAACCCAACAAAAATAAAACCCGACCCGCCACGTCATTATAACCCGCCACCTCATTAAAACCAACCCAACCCAACCCATCACCCAACCCTACCCAACCCTTCTTCCTCCTTCCTCCCCAACCCAATTTAGGGTTTTCCATTCCCAGATTGAGTGAAGCTTCAAAACAACAACAAAGCCTGATAGATTAAAACCCTAATCAACCATCCCCAAAAACGCAAGTCGATTCAAAATCCGACTTACCTTCACCTCCAATTCGTTTCCATCTTCAATTCAGAGCTCCCAAGCTCGCAGATCTCTCCCAATCCGAAAAGAAACGTAAGCATCAACACAACACAAGCTTGCATAACCTGATCGCGCTCAAGATCCCTTCTCCCCCAATCGCTCAGGCTAATTTCCTTCTCCAATCTCACCCCTTCGTAACCCAGCACCTTCCTCACAATTTCCTCCGCCGACGCCCCTCTCAGGCTCCTCCCGTCGTCGGCCTCCGCGTACTTCCTCAGATCCAGGAGATCGTGGATGCCAACCACGTGCTCCGACTCGTACAGCTTCCGCTGGTCGGAGCCGTTCCACAGCCCAACGAAGGTGTTGCCGGTGTGGTAGAGGAATTTTCGCAGGGAGAGCGGAACCCTATCGGCGCGGTAGAGCTGGAAGATCAGGCAGCGGGTGCCGACGCAGAGGTGGAGGGTTTGGGCCGGTGAGTGGAGCCGTGGAATGCCGTTCCACAGCCCAAATTCACTCAATCTGGGAATGGAAAACCCTAAATTGGGTTGGGGAAGAAGGAGGAAGAAGGGTTGGGTAGGCTTGGGTGATGGGTTGGGTTGGGTTGGGTTGGTTTTAATGAGGTGGCGGGTTATAATGACGTGGCGGGTCGGGTTTTATTTTTGTTGGGTTAATATCCGGCTGATTAGGCAATTCTGTTTGCCACATCAGCACTTAACGGACTTCATTAACGGAGTTGGACGGAGACTAACGGCGAGTGACCAAATGCGTCCAGTTTTAGTAATTGTAGTGACCAAATTTGATATTAAATTTTTCTAGTGACTAAATATGTCCCGATTTTGTAATCTCGGTGACCAAATGTGTCTTTAACCCAATAATTAAATTATTTATTATTGAAAATTGATTAACTTAATTTAATTTGCCTAAGCCAAGCCCTAGCAACAACTTATGAACGGTTAATATAATGATGATTACTAAAAAAAAAAAAACATGATGGTTCCCTTTCGTTGTGACATATGGTTCGACAGTCGGCACCTTCAATGCCAACGAACTTCCTCAAAGTAATGAAATAACGCCAGTGGCGGTTGAAATAATGCCGACTGGAAGCATTGAATTTGAATACGAAATACTGATCCCTTCGTATTTCCCGAAAAGTATTTAACACCCGTGGCCTGGTGTCCTTTTCCTGACTGCCTGGCCCAGCTCTGTTTCATTTAGGCCCAAGCTTAGAACCAGAGAAATTCACCCACCACAACAACACATAAAACGACACATATTTCATTTCTGGCCTCCAATCGGCGGTCCATCATCCTCTCCTTTATCTTCAAGCCCGCCCTCTTTGCCTCGTCTTCCCATGTTTCTACTATAGGATAAATATCACACTTGGTCACAGATTTTATGGCTAAATTACACATTTGGTCACTCAAATTATACAAATCTTTCACGTTTGCTACCCGAATTACTTTTCTTTCTTATTCGCCACTAACTTTACGAATTGTTTCACGGTTGGTCACCGGCCGTTACACTCCGTTAAGTTTGTCCTACGTGGCAGTCAACTATAAAGTTTGACCGTTAACTAGATGACGTGGAAATTAAAAAAAATAAAAAAATAAAATTTTCTTTCCACCTCATCATTGCACGTATTTTGTCTATATATAATTTATCATATTAATAATTTAATGGCCACTTCTGTATTGCCGGCACGGCACTAGTGCCGCATGCTTTTCTGCCGTTGGATTTAGTGTATATAACGAGGATCATTGATCAAAACTAGCACTTAATCCGCATAGGTTGAACCTATTATGTATGGTTGAACCTATTATATATTTTATTCTTTAATATCATTATATATTTTTTTTATGTTAAACAATTGCTGAAACGGAACAAGAAGACATTGTTTATTACTTTATTTTATGCTTCTCTTTCCCAAATACTCATGCCCCTGCCGGAAAATTATATATGGAAAATGAAAAGTTACGGTGTGTTTTGTTGATCGCCAGCGCAAAGTGCAGGTCGACACAGCCGACCGCACTGATATAGAGTTCATCGGGGCTACACAAAACTCCCGAATCCCGATCGATCGACGAGCTAGCTTGATCGCGTGTGCGTTAGTGTTTCTCCGGCAAGCAATCAATAAGTTTAAGGGAGGGCCGCTGGCATCAATCGGGTGCTAGAATCCGGCAACGAATAGCAGGAACGGGGCTCATGAGTCATGACGGTCGTGATTTCGACTGCCGGATTCCGGGATCTGAGTAGTCATGGCCGATCGGATGCAACATCGACGTCGATGACGGTGGTGAGAAGGAGGAACGGAAGAGACGAAGACGATGAGGCTTTCTATTGATTTTGTTTTATTCTTTAAATTAATTTAATAACCCAGCAGACCGCTTCAAGCCTTCAACCATTCCAAACCCATTTGATCTCCTTCCTTGAATCCAATAACAGATCGATCAATCAATCAATCCCCGCTATCAGAGATACTACTGAAGCTCAAATCCATCCAATATTAACAACGAAGATCAACATCCTCATGACCACGATTCCATCAACCGCCGTCCTCATCATCGCGACGCTGCTGCTCATCTTTAGCGACAGCATTTTCGTCGTCGTCGTCCCCAACAGCGCCTACAACACAGACAAGATCGACGACGACTGCGGCGTGCTGCTTGGTTCCCTCGACTAGGAATGGCAATGGGGCAGGTCCGGGGCGGGTTTCTTGGTACCCAGACCCGCTCCGTGGCAGGTCGGGTAATTTATCACGGGTCACGGGTCGGGGCAGGTCGACCCAATGGGTAAGTAATTTATATGAAAAATATTAGCAATGTTCGTTATTTTTATTATAAGACCATGAAAACAAATAATATTATGATAAATATAGTTAAATTATTTGAGAAATTGAGGTTTTCACTAATTTACAACTTTATTACAGCTAAAATTTGATTTAGTAAAAGGAAAATCCTAAGTAATTTGACTAAAATTAAGTGTAATTTAGGGGAGAACGGGTCGAGAATGGGGCGGGTCAGGGCAGGTCGGGTCTATGAGAGTACCCATGCCCGCCCCGCCCCACCTACGGTGCGGGTCGGACCCGCCCCAAAACAGGTCAAACAGGTCGGGTAAAACGGATCAGGTCGAAATTGCCATTCCTACCCTCGACATCAGCAACAAGGTCAGAACCCTAGCACTGAAATCCATGGACGCCGCAATTGGTTTAACAGCCAACGACAACCCCAATACCTGCGCACGTGCTGTTGCTGGCGATATCTTGGTCTTCACCGCCGCCAACTGTTCTGATCGGATATCTAACGACGAATGCAAGCTCTGTCTCTACAACGCGCAGTTCCGGGTCGTCAACCAGTGCGTTGGTAAGGTCGGAGGTTGGCTCGCGCTTGTAGATTGTTCCGTGAGTTATAGCCGCGATCCATTCGTTCTCTGTTAACCATTTTTGTAATTTATTAAATTTTATTAAATTATTAATATGATAAATTATATATAGACAAAATAAGTGCAATGATGAGGTGGAAAGAAAATTTGATTTTTTTTATTTTTTTTAATTTCCACGTCATCCAGTTAACAGTCAAACTTTATAGTTGACTGCCACGTAGGACAAACTTAACGGAGTGTAACGGCCGGTGACCAACCGTGAAACAATTCGTAAAGTTAGTGGCGAATAAGAAAAAAAAGTAATTCGGGTGGCAAACGTGAAAGATTTGTATAATTTGAGTGACCAAACGTGTAATTTAGCCCAGATTTTATTAAATAGTATCATGTTTAATCGCTAGAAAAATTTAATATCAATTTTGATCTAGAAAACAAGTCATGCAATTAGGTCGAATTTTTCATTCCCAAAATTTCTCAAAAAAATTTACACAATTTTCTTGCTATATATTAAAAAAAAAAACGAAAGGGCATGCAGGCAGATACTACTGTCATTGTTTCGGCAACTCTTGCTCTTTCGCCGTCCAATAAGTCTTGACGGCAACCAAGATCTTCTCCGGATTAAACGGCCCGCTCTCGTGGTCCATAATCTGGCTCTTCCATCTCATCCTGCTCGTAACGCTCTGAACCTTCACCAGCACGTCCACGGTATCCCTGATTATCACCGTCCCTTCGGGCCTCAGGATCCTGTCCATCTCCAGCAGAATGATCTTAACGTCGCACCTGCAGATAGGAAACGAAGCAATTCAACCGATTAGGGCGAGCGCCTCGAACCAACACACGCTAGTATCCTTCTGCTATATATATATTACTTTTACCTGTCCTGGTAGAGGCTGAAAACGCCACCAGCATGAATGAGATCGTATGTTCTTGGATATGTGGAAAAGGCCTCGCACCAGTCCTGGTACGTACCGACGAACCCTCGCTCGTAGATCGCGCCCAGGGTGTCTCGATCCGAATCGGAGGGGACCACGTTCATGACCCACACGGGGTACTTGACCAGCGCGGCGGCGAAACCGCCGAGGTAAGCGTTCATGTCCATGACGTTGCGGTACCGGCCTTGAGCGAGAGGGTTGATGATCTGCTTGTAGTGGCCCAACCTCTCCTTCCAGGCTTCATTGTCTTCGTTGAATTTCTCGACCGTGATTCCCGGTATAGAGCCGGTAGAGATCCTGGGCGGGACCGCGAAGGCCCGGTCCGGCCATTTCTCTAGCGCGCCGCCGGCGACTTCGTCGGGTCCGTTTACCTTTGGTAGTGGAGTTATGCATGTCTCCATGTTCTTGTACCTGTAAAAAAATTTAGCCAATTTTTTTATTTATTATTTCGATATATTAAAAAAGAAAAGAGCACATAAATAACGTTCTGAATGTGAGTATTTCTACTATGCTTTTAAGTACAACTTTACGTTGTAGCATAATATTAAAAGTACAAATTGAAGTTGTACCGTAAGAGAATTTGTACATTTATGTTATGGTATAACTTCAAATTGTACTATTACATAAATGTACAACTTTAGTTTGTATCATAAAGAGATTTATACAAAAGAGTATAGGTACAACCTGAAGTTTAATGTACAATTTCAAGTTGTACCATAAAGGCAAAAAAACTAAAGCACTAATGCTTTAAAGCATTGTAAAATTCCTCTCTTAACGTTCACAACCATCGGATCAACTTGTATGACATTATTGTTGTGTTGAACTAACAATTTTAAAACACCTATGTGATGATTAATGATACCAGCCGACGTATCGTCCTATTTTGACAATCAAATTCTACAATAAAATATGATTGACTCAGTTTTTTCTTCTTAATTTGCTGTGATAATAACGATAATCCTTAGTTCAGTCATCAAATGTACCAAGATTACGACCTTAATGTTAACTCGAGTTAGTATGTTCTATTGTAGCCAACAATCATGGATAACGAAACACACGATCCAATGACCATTAACGCATTAGAACGTTCTAACCCGAACCCTAATTCTGAAACATGAAGAAATGTTATACATGGATAGATGGATGTACGTACCATGATGCATCCGGGTTGTCGGACTTGCACATATGAGGAGTCTTGTAGACCTTCCGATTCTGTAAACACTCAAAGTGGTTAATGGGCTTCTGCCAAATCGAGAGATCATTCTTCTCAGCCACTTTCTTCCAGCACAAACGTCTGGCTACATCCTCAATGGCATCCTGTTCCTGTTTCAAATCCTGCTGACTCCTCTCCCACCCTTTCCAGTACTTCTTCCAGTTGATCGGAGGCCCAGAGAGGATCCAGTAACCGCCGGGCCTCAACACTCTGTCCACTTCGATCAGATAAAGCCCATCTGTATAAGCCCACAAACACATCCAGAGCAGGGTTTAGTTGACATGGTGGATGTGAAGTGGTTGTGAAGTAAAAAAGAGGAATTAAGTACCGTATTGGAACCATGGTATCAAGCAGCGAGAGCAGTGAGCCATGTCGAAAGCTCTTGCTGGGTAAGGAAGCCTCTGTGAGCCCATGACGCCGATCATGGCTGGAACTCCTCTTTCCAGGGCAAACTGGACTTGGGCTTCATGGGTGTCTCTTGGAGCGAAAGACATTGCCAATATGTCTCTCTTCAACAGGTATGCACCCCAACTCGCAACCTACAAGAACAAGTTGGTTTATGGGTTGGTATAAGATTTTATAATTAATCTTCTGGGAACGTTTAGTTTATGAGTTGATGAGACCAGTTTGATTATGATATTATATTAGAGTTGGTTTATCCTTGAGATCACTTGCTCAAATCCTCATAACTCTCAAATATTAATCAATGTCTTTGCAACACATAGTATGGTGAACCTGTGCAAACTTCAAGCTCATAAGACGTGTAAAGTAGGTAGCAAGCCTGGTCTATATACGTACTGACCCGACACGACTCGAAGGTCAGACTGGATCAGTTTGACTACTTGGTCATCTTTTGGCCATGTAAGCGTCGGGAAAGGCCAGATCAACTTAGGGTTGGGTAACTCTATGACCCATAACAACAACTAAAATGATTTGAAATTGGGAGAGAATAGGGTACTAACAAAGGACATTTTTGTAACGTATTAAAAGTCCAGGTACTATAATGTAAGACAACAATATGAAGGTGCTAAAATGTAATCTTACCACTATAATTTCTCGAACTATTTGGAAAAAAGGGTTTAGGTGTTAAATTGTAAGAAAAATGACACAAAAATGTAATTTCAAAATAATAATAATCAGATTGTTGATTTATTCGAGCCGACCCATTGACTCAGCCGACCATAGCGTAGCAGACAGGGTCAAGGCAGGAAACCAGGACATGACGGGTCTCGTACAATTTCAGAAAAAGTATCACAAATGAACCTCTTCCAACAATTCGACTTATAGAAACCAATTAGTTAACGACAACACAAATTAAACCAATTAACAACCTGTTAAACGTCATCACAATCATCTCATTACGGTAATGGAGACTTACGCCGCAGCCCGTGTCGATGGCGGTTCTGATGTTCCCATCGCCGAGCGGGACGAGCCGGTCGATATCATCAATATACACATCGGCGCCGAGCGGGAACATCGTCCCGCCGCCGGGAAACCTGAACCGCTCCCCTTCCACCTGAATCCAATGCTGCACGGCCTTCTCAATGCTCAGCTCCTTGTGCGGAATGTTATCATACCACGCATAATCCCGACTCTCCGGCCACTTGAACGGCGTCTTGTACTTCGGCGGAGCCGGTATCAAGCAGAACAGCAGCTCCTCCTTCGCCGGACAATGCCGCTCTCTGTACCTCAGCATCTCCCTGTCGAACTTCCTCCCGCGGGGCGGGTACTGGCAGGGAGTGTACTCGCTGTAGGACATCTCGCAGGGCGGGAATAATTCGTCCCGGCTGCTCGTCAAGCTTTCGTCGCTTATCTGGATCTGGTGATGGCTCTCGAAATCCAGTTTGATTGGCGAGGATGTGAGATTGTCGATGTTTTTGGTGGTGGTCGCGGGGGTTTCGCAATCGGATTTGGTTTTGATGTCGGATTGGGGTTTGGGAGGGTTGTTTGTGGTGTTCTGCCAGGATCCCATGGTGTAGAAGAGGATGCAGAGGCCGGTGACGCCTAGGATCCATGTCAGGCGCTTTCTCTTAGACTCGAGACCGTGGTCCTTGGCCATTATCTCTGTTTTTTTTTTTTTGGTGGAAACAGAGGAAATTTACCAGCTGAAAGGCTGGGGATTTGGATTGAGGAGTGACTGATGCTTCATCGATTGATGGTGTGGACAGTAATGGGCTCGATGAAAAGGGCCAAAAAAGGGGGAAGAGATGGCGATGATAGTGTGAAAAAGACGTGTGTGGTGAATGGTGAAGAAGTAACACCAGAGGTGAAGAAAGTTTTGGAAGAACTCTCACTAGTTTAGCAGGAGGAATCGCTTGGGAGAGGTTGTTGGGGGGGAAATGTTGTTGTTTTCGCCGGAACGAAATTCTGCATTCTAGTTTTTGCTAAAGATAGTGGGAGGAGATTGGAAATAAAGCTTGGACTCGGTCTAATGGAAGAACGAGGCAATGGGGGTGTTTTGAGTTTTGGTAGAGAGATTAACTAGCCTGTTTTCACTCTCATTCTCAGTCTATTTTTTATTTCTTCTTATTTCGTTAAATGCGAAGTATAAGTTTGACCGCCTTAAATAACAATTTTGCACACGAGTAAGATTGTGTGTGTTTTGAACATTTAAATATATATACCGTCCTCCTTCAAGTGTTTTAGCAAAAGTATCGATGCATAGTGTAGAATTCATGTTATGCCATAATCCGCGGAGAACTGGGTATTGTTGCACACTATTAGTTTGATTTGATCCACGTGTCGGGATTCAAGGAGCACACAAGAAAGTTAGGAAGAAAGTATACAAAAATTTATAGCATCAAAATTTTGTAAGCCGTTGTCGCTATCTAGATCTCATCTCATCACATCTATGATTTTACCCATTACCGATCAATATTTTTACTATGTTGAAATTGAATTCTAGTTTCTTTTTAAATATAAAAAATATACTAACTATGATCTAGACGATGATAGTTACTTTGTTAAAATTTTTAAAATTAAAATACATGGATTTTTCTTAGAATGCATTGACAACCAAAAAACCACAATTTTCTATCATAGTGAAGGACTTTCTGTATCGAGATATCGTACCAATGGATAGTAGAATAGAAGATGTCAGATTGTCTCATCATCTAGGTGATGGGATCATACGATCAATCGGGAAGTAAAAAGAAACTACATCGATGTCATTATGAACAAATGACAGCGGTTTACCAAAGGTAAGATAGTCTAACAGTAAAGCTGCCGCGACATTAAAAGTTTGGGAGTTGCATATCCCAGGTTCGAATCCAAGCGAGGGTCGTTGGTGTTCCCGGAGGTACAAAAGCTGCTGTGGGCGAAACTCCATTGGCGTTGAATTTAATTGCAGGTGGCCCCCCAAGTTTAGTAGGACCCGCTGTCACAAAGTGGAACGTGGGGCTGAGGTTTCTGGGTAACAAAAAAAAAAAAAACATGACACCGGTTCGTGGAATGAAGTAACACCTACGCACATCTCACGACTAAGATCTTGCCTATGAGAAGATGTCAAATCTGCACCCACCAATTTTAGCTCTGTCAAGAATCAGTTAGTCTCAATGACTCGAGTTGTTGGAAAAATGTTGTTGGAAAAATGTTCATTATGGACCATATATCAATCTCATATACGCCCCCTTACACGAAAGCTAATGCATGGGCTGTAAGTTTGCACTGGCGACCCACAATATCTTGTGCTTCAATTAATTGTTAATATAGAGGGACGAGAAGATTCGGACATACGACCACTTGACCAAACCAGCTCTGATTCTATGCCAAGAACGAGTTAATCTCAATAAACTAATTGTCAATATTACAAGTCATAGATATTTAAACATACGACCACTTGGTCAAACCAACTCTTACATCATATCAATAATCCGTTAATTTCAATAACTCGAATTTTTGAAATTTTTTTCTTTATGAACCATATACCATTCCCTCCCAATCTCAATTTCACGTTTCAATGATAATGAGAATCCATGTCATGTGATTTATTAAGCGCAAGAGGGGCTGTTAGAGAAGAAAAGAGGTAGTAGCTATGAATGATGGGATTGGCATTGACTTTCGATTCTCCCATGAGATGAGACGAGAGACAGAGAGAGCTAGCTACCCATTCACTTCACCATCTTGGCCTCTTGTCCATTTCCTTCCCAATTTTGTTTTCTTTTGCATTTTTTTATCATTATCTTCCAAATTTTGTTTCTTTTGCATTTTTTAATCATTATCACGATTATTAATAATTGCACTTTAGTCGCCTTATACTACCAAGAACAAAAAAATTGATGATTCTGAGTTTCTGACCATTTTGTGCATGAAATTAATTTTCAAAGAGCTGGTAAACGATTAAGAAATAGGGTAAATGACACATTTGGTCACTGAGATTACTAAATCGTGTCATATTTAGTCACTAGAAAAATTTAATATCAATTTTGGTCACTCGAATTACTGACACAGGTCACATTTGGTCACTCTTCTGTAGCCTCTGTCCAACTCCGGTCACTCGAATTATTGAAAAATGTCACATTTAGTCACTCGTATTACTGAAACATGTCACATTTAGTCACTCTCCCAAAAGTTTCCGTCCAACTACATTAATGGAGTTGGACGGAAACTGACGGGAGAGTGACTAAATTTGACCAGTTTCGATAATTCGAGTGACCAAAATTGATATTAATTTTTTCTAGTGACTAAACATGACACAATTTAATAATCTCAGTGACCAAATGTGTCATTTACCCTTAAGAAATATGCAACTTATCGATTGTATTTTGTCTGCCTTACACACATTTTTTTAGTGGCTAAACGTTCAAACATAAAGTGTGATCATCGTTATTTTCAACATTTCATTGTCTTGTGACAATGTATTTGTAGGGTGAGTATTTGATAATATCCACAATTATGTTAATATACCTATCAATACATGTTGCATAAGCTAATGGTACAACCTTCCATAACCACATAAATGCCACACTAGATTTTATTTTTGTGAGTACATCCAATAAATTGGATATGAATCTGGATACTCGATACAATCAGACTCATTGTCATCTCTAACTCTAACTATTTCAATAGAACTACCACACACATTGAGTCTTTATCTATGTCGCGGCTCAACAGAGGCTTACTTAGCTTTCAATTTGAAGATTTTTCTTCCACACACTGCGAGAAGTCAACTTTGTAGCGGATCACCACTCCCACCAAAATGATTATTCAATTATTAGGCTCCATACTGAGAGCATTTTTATACCAATTTTACACCGATAAATGAATATGCCATAGTTGACACCCATTAATTGAAATCCTTCATTGAGTAATAAAGAAACTCGCTGACATGTAGACTTTAACAAAAACCACTTTAATTCGCCCTCTACACATAAATATATAGACGTCAATCCATCCCTTATATATCGATCTGCGTTTTCCAATACCTCCATTTCCTCCTCCTCTGTTTTTTTCCCTCCCCTGTTCCGCCTCTTCCCACCTGCATTCCAATCCCCCAATCGGCCGGCGACTTCTCCTTCTCTCCGGTGAGTCAGATGCAAACCCTCTTCTCTCCCTCACCACCCATTTCATTCCATTGATCTAAACTCTGCATCTTACTCTGGCTCCCGTTCTTCCTCCTCTGCCTTAGCTCCACATCTATAAAAGCCCTACAAAGTATGTAAACTTCACTTCATCTCCAGTAATCCTCCCACAAAAAACCCAAAAAAAAAAAGTTTCTTGTTTTGTATTGCTTATGTTCATGCATCGATTCTAGCTGTAGCCATCGTTTGGATCGTGGCTAAGGTCGAGATTATCACCCTGTAGCGAGACCATCATAAAAACCCATCAAATTATGTAATCTCGATTCACCTTACTACTCACCAATCCCCATAAAAAACCCCCAAAAAAATTTACATTTCAAGTATCAAAAAGGGGAAAAAAAAAGTTGGAAGGAAGAAGGATGCCGGAATCGGAAGGAGGAACGCCGGTGGCGACGTCTGCGCCGGCGACGCCGGGGACTCCGGGAGGTCCCCTGTTTTCGGCGGAGAGGGTGGAGTCGCTGTCGTACGATCGGAAGTCGATGGCGGCGAGATGCAAGTGCTTGCCGGTGACGGTGCGAGCGTGGAGTCAACCCGTGTCTCCCACCTGCTTCACTGATTTCCCCACTCCCGATATCTCGCTCGCTCGCAAGGTACGAATTCACCATTTCATACCCAACTCACTCCCTTCTTTCTCTTGCGGCTGCTTTAGTTATTTGATATAGTCATTTTACATCATTATAATCTGAATTATGAGCAATTGAGTCCACTCTTTAATCTCTTGGTATGATGAGTTTAGAAATTTGGCGGGATACAAGATAAATTAGTGTATTTGTCTTATGGTTAATATTAATTGTAAATTGTATTTTCTATTTGATCTTCATAATTTCAATGAGGGTTGTTCACGTATTGGCCTTCTATTTCTGACACTCTCAACAATTCAGACCTCCAAGTTAGTTCAAATTTTCAACCGGTTAGATTCATTGTCATTGTTATTGTCAAGGTTAGAATGTAGGTCCCACGCTACGACAACTCGACATATTATGTCTAGGCATTGCAAGAGGAGTGTAAGAGAATAGATTTAAAGTTCCAAAGTTTTAAACACAATCAGGACAAGATCGAGAGTAGTTTAATTTTCTTAGATATATAAGATGTAGAGTCGTCTCTCTAGAAACGACATATTGACAATGTTTTTTACTATGGATTTAACGAAGATTAGCTTATAATGTCTTACAAATATCTAAACAAAAGGGCCAATGCAGTCAATTACAATTTAAATAATCCAAATAATAATATCTTATTGGAGAACTGAAGTTTCTAAAGCTAAATTGAGTATCCGTTTCGTTCATATGCACTAATTATTGCAGATGAACAAAGTTTCAGAAAGTTAAAAATGAGCACTTGCAATAGTACAAAGCAAAACTTTATGCTAGAAAATGGATGTGCATGTGCCTAAGTTCAACGTTGCTGCTGCACTTGATTGTCGGCTGGAGTCCGTTTTTCCATTTTCTCTCCAACAATGGGCGGTGCGGTGTTACAATGATACTGCTGTCTGCTGCACAGCCACCGCACAACCTGCGCAGGAGAATAAAAGCTCATGTTTCTCTTTTCCCTTGAAGAATAAATTTAAGTATTATTAAGTAACATTACTACTTAGCTTAGCTGTAAAAATGAAAAGGAAGTAGAGGTGAATTTTAGCTTTGCGCTGGGCACATGCCCTTTCACTCAGCCATTTTTACAAACACCTGGTAGGCATTGCATCCACCTCTAAGGACAACATTCATCTCGTTGACACGGCTGCCTGCAGCTAGGTGCGGAGTTCGTGGGCACCTTCATACTCATCTTCGCGGCGACGGCAGGCCCCATCGTCAACCAGAAGTACGCCGGCGCCGAGACCCTGATCGGCAACGCCGCCTGCTCGGGCCTAGCCGTGATGATCATCATCCTGTCGACGGGACACATCTCCGGCGCCCACTTGAACCCTTCGCTCACCATCGCGTTCGCTTTCCTCCGCCACTTCCCCTGGGCCCACGTCCCGGCCTACATCGCTGCCCAGGTAACGGCGTCAATCTGCGCGTCATTCGCACTCAAGGGCGTGTTTCATCCCTTTATGTCCGGCGGCGTCACCGTGCCTTCCGTCGCCACCGGCCAGGCTTTTGCACTTGAGTTCATTATTACTTTCGTCCTGCTTTTTGTTGTTACTGCCGTTGCTACGGATACTCGCGCGGTGGGGGAGCTGGCCGGGATTGCGGTTGGTGCTACGGTTATGCTCAACATTCTTGTTGCAGGGTGAGTGATCACTTTCTCCGAAAATTGTTGTTAATTATCTAAAAAAATTCTCACAATACCATATTTGAAATAAATTTCGAAAATATTAGAGTTTGACGTGGTTTATTTAAGGGGTCGTTTGCTTGTTGGATTTGAAAAATGAGGGTTTTGGCTCAAAAAAACCTTTGGATTTATGAGGGATTTGTACCATCATGGATTTGAAGAGTCTATTGTTTGCATGATAGATTTGATGATATTATTATGATGGATTTGCTATAAATATAATTAGTCATCAAGGATTTACAAATCCCACCCCAATATGTGGGATTTACAAGTCCGTGGGGTCCACGGATTTGGATCCAAAAAAAGGAACAAATCCGTGGACCCCACGGATTTAACACCTAACAACAAACAATGGACTTGACTAAAATCCATCATGCTTGGGATTTGAGTCCCAAATCCATGACCCAAATCCATCAAGCAAACGACCCCTAAGTTTCTAGCGAACTATGTGGTGATTCGTTGGAAAAGAGAAGCAATTCACTCTTTGGATCACGCGGATTGCTGAAGACCCAAGCGAACTAGTCTCGAATCTAGCAATTTCAAGTGAACCAACCTCGAATCAAATATGAATCGCGACAAACTAAGGCGAACCAATTTTGAATGAACATGGATCGTGATACAATTAAGCGAACCCACATCAGATTGCTGATGACACCCAAAGATGTACACCTAAACTAGGTCAAAACTTCGAATGATTCATAAATTTGGGCTCGCGGTTATCCGATCATGACGTAAAAATTCGCTACAATGGAATAACCGAGCACAAAGTTGAAGTTTCGATCTAGGTTAGATGTAGATCCAGGGGTTGATCGATGCTGGTTCGTTTCGGTCTGTCGCGGCGATTCGGGTGGTTCGAGGTTGGATTGCTTGTATTAATTGCTATGATCCAGGTGCTTCGGGGCTGGTTCCTAGCACTATTATTCTGGTTGGTTTAATTTGGTGCTAGTTCGCTTCTATTTGGCGGGACTGAAATTAGTTCGATGTAGATCGCTCCTGTCTTCAGCGAATCACTATCTAATTCTCTGGACACTAGAGCAAACCACATCAAACTCTAGTATTTTGAATTTTTTTTTTTTTTTTGTAAAATGTTGTATCTTGGGAGTTTGTTTAGTAATCCTTGCAGTTTGGGAAATTTTCCGAATTTTTTTTTTGTATATCCCTTCAACCGATTGTAGGACTCAATTTTGTCGAAGATCATGATTAATTATGACACGATCTTGATTCTTGAATGAGTTGCATGCTATGGTTCTGCTGGTGCATATGCAGGACATCGACCGGAGCGTCGATGAACCCAGTGAGGACACTCGGGCCGGCGGTGGCGGCAGGGAACTACAGGAAACTCTGGATATACCTGGTTGCGCCGACCCTCGGCGCTCTTGCCGGAGCTGGCACCTACACCGCCGTGAAGCTCGAAGACACCGAAGCTGGCCCGCCTCGTCCGGTCAGGAGCTTCCGCCGCTAGACTGAAAAACTACACCGTATTTGTACGTTTCAGTGTTCGGTGTTTGCTACTTTGCTCTGTAATAAACGCGATGTGACTGAAATTCGACGCCTGAATGAATTATTACCTTAATTACTAAGGTCTAAGTAAAGCTTCTCTTGTGTCTGTGTGTTGTAATTATTACCTTAATTACCACTCTCTGCGAGAATGTGATTATCGAACAACAAGGTTTTGATATTCTAAATATTGCACGATTTGGCGACTGACTAAATTGTGACAATCATTCACGTGAAATTTTTGTTTTAGAGCTGATTGGTTGTCATAATGCGATGTCGTTGATCATTTACGGATAGGTGACTTCATATCGTTGATATTATATAAATTCCCTTTCAGTTATTACTTCTTTAATTTTTCACGGTAAATGAAGAAAGTTTTATATATAATCGCTGCAAGTGGGTTCAGCTACTAAAGCTTCCCGGCAGCAATCAAATAATAAATAACCTCTTTTCCAACCCAGATAATGACTTAATTACTTGATTATTTAAATTCTGTATGTTTTTTTTTTGTATTTATATACTAATTGGAATATTGTCATCGTGTGAAGCCGGCTCCCAATTCCTTGTTGTCGCAGTCACAGCCTGCCCTTTGAATTTAATTTTCCAGGCTGAAAAATCATTCAATTATTTTAATTTCATTCATGAGTGGCGGATAGTGCATATCCATTATCCTACCCAAAATAGTTTGGGTTTTACCCATACCCATACTCACATAAGAGTCGGATAGAAAATCAAAACCATGTCCATACTTGTTCAGGTTTCAGGTATCTACGGTTATCCATGGATAACAATTTTTTCTTCATAACTCCAACCAACATGTTAACATTCACGCGTATACTCACATTATGTAAATGAAAATGGATGACAGTAATTACTAGAATGTCGAAAATTAATTAAACACAACACGATTTCGTGGAAATATTATATTTGTATGCTAAATATCAAATATGTTGAGAAAAATCATAATCATTTCTAGACAAAATACATATGCATGTGTATGATCGGTCGGGTTTGGGTTGGATAGTACGAAAACCATGCCTACTCATTACCCGCAATATTCGGGTTCGAATTTTGCCTATATTCACTAAAAATCCTTCGGATTCGAGTTTTACCCTACCCAATTAGGTCGGATTCGAGTGAATATCCACGATTCCGGATATTTTTGTCATCCCTAAGTGTCGAGAATAAGAATACCGTACATTATACATTATACAATGAGCAAATTATTAACAACTGAACCTCCTGATTCAAAATCGATAGTATTAAGCCTTTGTTTGCTGCTGAGAACTCTACTTGAATCCCTATTTGGCTTATGCAAAAAAAAAAAAAAAAGTAACAGAAACTGACCGTCCAAGGCCCGGTCCAGATCCAGTGGGGTTTCCCGCGTAATTCAACCGTTCAAGAGTGAAAGGGACAGGAGGCAAGTTTACCCAAAAAAGAAAAAAAAAGGCAGAGTAATATTCTGCTAATTTGATTTGCAGTTTATTTATTAATTTGATCGAATTATAAAATCCGAAAATCAGGAGAAGCTGACAAATGATACATATTGGAACTTTTCCTCTTCTCCGCCATTTGATTCCTTCGCCTCCTTCTCATTTCCTCACTACCGTACACAACAATCGCTAACAAACTTCCTTTCCACAACCCTTTTGCTAGGCCTGCAGATACACAGTTAGTCAACTCACTGCTGCCAACTCAAAATCTGTTCGATTGATCTTACTTTGTTTGGGAATTGAAAAGAGTTCGTCGATTTGTACATGGAGCAGCTTTCCTGTTCAGAAACTGACTTCCTTTCCCCCTCTGAATTGCCAGCTTGTCAAGTCTGCAGCTGAACGATTCCTTGGTGGGTTCAGTTTGTTGTGGATTAAAGTAGCGATCTTTTGATTACTCAACCAGTTTCAGATTCTGGGTTGCTGGTTTCTTCTTAACCCTTTTGATCATTTTTGTAGTTCTTGAGTTGCAAACGATTACTGCTGGGTTGGGGGGAAATGGGAAGGTAATGTTATGGTCAATGGTAGAAGCGAAGGAAAGACTTCATCAATTGTGAGGGGAGCAGAAAGAGATGAGAATTTGAACTTGTATAGTGGTGGTAGTGAACAGCAACGCAAGGGTGAAGGATCATCAGAAAGAAGTGTGATGGAGGCTGGTGAAGGAAGAGGGTTTTCTTCAGATTTGTATAGGAACACAAGTGAGGAGATGTTCATCAAGTCCTTGATGGAAAGCTCGATTGGGATGCCTGCACCAACCATGGAGATGCTAGGGTTTAAGAATCTCCACCACAATTTTCGGACTGATAGCGAGGAGCTCTTCAAGAGCTGGCTTACTACTGGTACTGGAGAGGCAAGCACTAAAAAAGATCTCTACTTTGTTTGTTCTTCTCCTTTTTTTCCATCCATCTCTTACAAAAAGTGTGACTTATGAGTTATGATCACCTCTGTTTGCTTTGAGGTTCTACTTGTTTCTCTTTGAGCTGATCCATTTTGATGAGCCATGGAAATTCTTAGTTATGATAATTTCAAATGAAAGGAATCTTGGTTCACTGAAGGAAAAGAGTTGATCCCATCAAACTCTATCTCCTAGCTGATTTGTTTTGTTGATGTGATTTTGGATGAAGGAGAATCAGCAGCATGAGCTTTGGCTTTTAGTTTCAAAGTTCTGTCTTATAGATTTCCTTGGCTTCCTTTCCATGCTAATCAACTTGGAATTTTCACATATTTATGAAATGCTATCTGTCCTTATCTGCAGAATCATGGTTATGGAACACCAAGCATTGCACATCGAACGCGACAATCATCTAAGAGGTGACCGCACAGTATACAGTGGTCTCATTACTTCTAAGGTTTATGTAAATGTAATCTTGTGCTAAAATCTAAGAAAAGGGACTATAGTAAGGCGAATCGAGCTCACAATGCCATACATCATCAGCACATTACTGAAATGCCTCTAGATTAAATAAGGTGCTAATGAGATAAAGAATTAACTCCCATGTGCATTGTGATGGTTTCAGGATGTCCACTGAAATCTCAAATTTGTCAGGTCAGCAACAAGGGCAGGCATCTATGCAAAAGAAAAGAAGTACTGATGTGCTGTCGACACAACATAATCATCCAACAGCAGACGATGTCTCCAATCGACAATCGAACAAGTAAGAAACTGCAGCCTTCCCTTGTTTCCCTCTTTGAAACTTTTTTTGTTAGTGGCAAACTCAGTTTCCCTTATGCTGCCTTTTGTTTACTATAACTTTCAGTAAAGGCGCTGTTGACAGAAACATGCAGGCTAGTAACTTATACATGGCCAAGGTCTGTCACATTTTATAGCTTTCTGAAGAAAATTTTATGCTGTTAAAAACGCTTCATGAGTTCACATAGCATTTGTCTCCCTTCTATGCAGGCCTGGTTTCAAAGTTCTCAACCCATGACTCGGAGCAGATCCTCTGAACTAAGGTGATCATTCTCTACCATCTCTGCTTGCTAAGCATCTCAATAACTTGTCTAACAATTACAAGTGGTTTCTTTCTACAGGAGGAGATACGTTGCCATGCAAACTACTGGAGAGAATGATGAAAGTGGATTACCGAAACAAGAGTTTTCAAATCCTAGTGGACTCGGCAGTGATCTCCTCATGCACGATGTGACGAATCAATTTGGAACATTCAATACTCCACACACGGGAAATATGGATAATGTCTCTTCAGTGGTGAGCATGTTGAAGGGCACCCTCGAACGCAAGAAGCAGCTGGGTAATCATGAAACTGCCGAAGAAGACAGCTCCAATTCGATCTATCATCACTGTCATGGTCAAGAAGTTCTGATGATGAATAGCTTCAATCAGGGAAATGGGGATGGGATGGATAGCTTACAGGCGCTTGCATCTGCAATAGCAAAGAATCCCATGTCTGCTGGGCTTTTGGAGACGGTTCAGGAAGTTGTGGATTTTGAGATGGAAGGATATGCAAATCATCCTGTCAACCCAATGCAGACGAACACGATTTCTCGAGAGCCTTCTTCTCTGAGTGAATCTTCAGCTGCTGCACCAGTTGTTTCATCTGGGTTTGATGCATGCGATGGTCCGAGCAACTCGAGTCAAAATGTGACCACTTGTGAGAGCTCAAAGAAAGCAGTTGGGAATGGTTCAGAGCAAGGTGGTAGAGCCAAAGGTATATTGCATTTGACATATACAACAACTCTTCATTTTGACTCTAGAAAATGAAATTGGCAATGCTAAACAATCATTATCGTTTTTGGAATGCAGAGTTCAGAGGAAGGATAATTGACAATCTGAAGGATGATAAAAAGGTAAACAGACATACTCTTTCTCACATTGCTTGCACATCAAGCTACTCCTGGTCTCAGTTTCATATGATCCACTCTCTGGATTTATTGTAGAGAGGTAAAGGGCTTGTCCGGTATGGATCAGTGACATCAGCTAGTTCACGTAAGCCAAGCTTCTGATTTGTCAAAATTCAGTAGGATGAGCGAAAGTCGAAAGACACAATTACTTGCAGCCTAAGAAATTATGAGTTTCTGTTGTGTTGCAGTGGACACAGGAGACCCAACCAAGAAGCGTAGGGTGGAGCGCTCTCGCAAGTAACTTTCCCTTCCGTATTCGTCTCTCTGTTCTTTCATTTAAACAGGGCTCTGATACGGTGAAATCTGTTAATGGTATTGGTAGGATGGCCGAAGCAAAGGAGAGGAATTTGACACCTGTGGTGCCCTCCGATATGCAGTCAGTGATGAAAAGGTGTGAGAACCTTGAAAAGGAAGTAAGATCACTCAAACTGAACTTGTCTTTCATGAACAGGTGAGACCAGAGACAAAACTCCTATACTAATGGATGATTCAAAGCTCTGCTTGGATGATTGATGGATAACAATCAACTGTTAATTTGCTGCAACTTCCAGGAAGGATTCTGAGCAGACTAAGCAGATCGAAGAGCTTCAGAAACGGAACGAGGATTTGACAGACGAGAAAGAACGCCTGCTGGAGGAGATTGAGAGAATAATGTCTGAAACCGGCAAGGTCTGAAGCGTTGTATTTTAACTGCGTGGATGAGGAATGCTGGCATTTGGTTCTTTCTGCAGCCAGCAGGCTAAACTTTATTTGTTTGTGTTGGTAGAGAAGACTACAGGACATAGCAACCGTATCATCCTCATTCACTTGTCTTACACATGCTCAAATCATCAGAAAAATTCATAGGACCGACCATTTGTGACGAGATTAGGGTGGTTGATAAATGTTCTTCAGCAGCTGTATCTCTACAAAACTAGTTGCAGCTTCAAATATTTGTCAGATTTAACACTTGATAAATTTCCAAGTGTTCGATCTCGACTCGATTCTTCCCGTTGCAGAGAGTTCGGTTGGGTGTATCAAATTGTACAATCTCAAATATATGGAATAGGAAGTATTTGATACTGCGTTCTAGAGAAATCGTGAGCTACAAGATGTTTTCTACCAAGCATCCTGCTTTTTGAAGAGGCAAAACTTCTAAGAATATGAGGATGTCCAAAAACTGTAGCCAATTCAACCAGCTATAATCTCGATTTGACATTCTTCAAGTAATTGGTTACAGAATGATATTCACATCAATTACACTGTTGAGGTTTGTTTCAATTGTACAGTTTCCCTATGCTATAGAAGTTCTTACCTGATACAAAACAGGAACCACGGTTGGTTCCATCGTTTCTCTTCTAACTACAATGATGATACATTTCACTAACCTGGTTCACAAGTTTTTCCTAGATTAAATATAGCCAACTCGAATCTCTGGCATGCCAAGCCGTTTCCCGTACTGGATAGTCAACCAGCCCATGAAGGAAAAGTATGCCACGAAAAAACAAGCACGCTTCAAGACTACCAGGTTGATAGCCCGATTAAGAACCCTTACTATGTATGCCCATGTCTGAGGGACTGGGGGCATCACCATCTGCACCACTGAGAAGAAGAAGATGGTGATTAAGGAAGTCAAGAAACCGGTGACAGCTCCAGCAACAGCTTCCCATTTCCAGAATCTGGTGGCATTTCCCGTCTTCTGAATGAACAAGGAGCTCGGAGCGTCGATCAACCTGACCACAGAAACATGGGAAAGCACCATTTGGTATCATTAATTGGAAATCTACATTAATTTTGGTTCTGACGGGGAAAATCTCATACAGTTGAAACGTGTAAGTTCCAGATAGACATTACGTCCGACATGTATAAAGTGAACATCTGCAATAGCAGGCATATAGACTGACATCCGTCAGGAAAAACAGTTAATTCATGTGAAGCCAACCAAATTATAGAGTCCGCAAAGATTCACATGACTTGGCGATTTCCCAACTCAGGTTGTTCAAACTCTCCATGAATTTACAAGGCCTTGAGACTCTACAACCTCAGGTCCGAGGAATAAATTTACCCTTCACTGTGATCTGTTTACACGTCAGCCTTTCCATTTAGCCTAAGAAAACACCCAAAAACAATAATGCATAACTAGCTGCACCAGAACCAACTTGTAGAACCTTTTTTCTCTAAACGCATGTCATTGTACATACTATGCTGTCCCTATAAAATTTATTCCCCCTAGTCCACTTAGTTACACAACCTGTTTAAGTGACATTCCATGCTTCAATGATACATAATGACAAATTAAGACAATCTTTCATGCAGCAAAATTAATGGATGACCTACACTGTTAAGTACCTTGCAATTTGCAAACAGCCAAGCTGCAATGGTTCACTTGTTCAAAGAGCTAGAACCCACATAATTTGTAAAGGCTGTTATTTTAAAGTAGCAACTTCTTATCCTATTCGGTGGTCGCTCGATCCAAGTTTGTCGACCATTCAACAACTTGTCTCTGCTTAACATCAACCCAAATATAATGCTGACTGGGTATTTTCCCTCAAGTAACATTACTGCCTCAAAAAAATATAACCTATATAACTCTTCCAATAATCAACATGGCTAATTTTTAATTACGTTCTTCAGATGCCTAAATAATCATATGTTAGGCGCTTCTCACAAGCACACCAACGAGAAACAACTTTAGTGCTTCAATAGACAGAGTGGGCAGGCAAAGTAGGAGGAAAAAACTCGCGGAAAAAGAAATGAACAAGCCAGTACAGAAAGAGACAAGGAGTATAAGGAGCCCGTATACTCACAATCTGATATATTGATTTATAATCTCGAGAAGAGAAGGATCTTTTGAATTACAGCGGTGAAAGTCATCGACGTATAAGCTCACTTGAGAGATCCCATCCCTGTGCCAGCAATTGTAAGTTTCATTCACCTGAAAATTGAAAAGTTAATGGAAATCAGAATCCCCTTAAACTTCTCTGCATCACGACTCAGGGTAGATTGAAATTTCAAACAATCACAGATGGATTTATCCTTTCTCCCTACACAGTGGATTAAGAGGACACGGATCTAAACCTTAAATTTATCTTTGGCCATCCATGCAGCAGCAAAATTGGGCCTACAATTCAGAGGAAGCGCCTCACTTGGAGCCTCAGCTAAAGCATGCCGTGTCCGTCCCAAGGAATGATCTTCATATTCCACCTGCAATGGTAAAGCGAAAATGATCCTCCTAATGCCCCAACTTTTGAGGTTGAAGATACAAAATGTGAACACAACCATGGTTCGACCATGCTCTAGTCAGATGCTTGTATCACACAGGCAAAAGAAGCGGCTAAGGTTCTGTTGGAGAACCCTAATTTAACACAGTCTAAGAGCAGGAACCCAGTAACAGGAGGCCCCAGGTCAGCAGTAGTTCACAATGACACTAGCAAATTTACTCTAAGAAACTATAATAACATTGTCATGGCTCCTTTCCCTCACACTGACAATCAAACGCTAGGACAGGGATAATTTAGATGGACGATCAACGGATGATCTGATGGGACTTTACTTATGGATTCCTGAATGAGTGATGAGTGTACTATATTTCAAACAATGAGGCGGCAAAATTGGAAAGAATAACACTCTGAGACGATAGAAGAGAAATGAAAGCCACAAGAACATAAATATCACCTCAAACACAGAAGCCCAGTAATAATCATAGCGGCATCGAAATTTGTTTCTGTCAAAAGGATGAAAGACATTCTTTGTTTTGTACTTCAGCAACCCAAGTTCGCAAACTTTAGATGATCTGAGATCAACACCTGAAAAGGTCAAAACAAAATCATTTTCCTCCTCGAACACAAGCAAAACCTTGTTGATGGCAAAAGAGTCTGCCTGCTTCACACATCCATGTACTGAACTTATGCTAAGCTCTAAACCAAAATGAGGGGGGTTTCGGGAATACTAATAGCAAACCATGTATTTATCATAAGATACCAGGATAAATGCAAACCGTCGACCTTCCATACCCTCAGACGGACTCTTCCCAACACTAGGTTTGGATTTGAAGCAAGTCTCTCCCTCGCCATTCAACAATAATTATCATAATTCTAACTTCCGATTCTTTCTGTAACGAATCAAACTCAGCAATTCAATCATTGCAATTCCATTCTACTTCCTATACTTCTCTACAACCGGAAACCAATGAAGAAAGCGAAAACAAATTCGAAACAGAGATGGGGGCGCAAAGAAGAACTTACCACTGGAGACTATCCGGCACCGAGAGGCAACAGACACGGGCGTCGTGATAGATAATTGCCCCGAGAGCACGGCTATGAAGGCCGTGGATATTGACAAGAGGAGGAAAGCGAAGAAGGGAAAGAGCAAAAGCAGAACTAATCGCAGAATCAGACGGAAACAGGAACTTGTCCTTCTGCTCTCAGGGATTTCCACCATCTCTGGTTCCTTGAGAGAATCCATCATTCACAAGAATTGAGCAATCGACGAAAGGTGAGAGGAAGAAGGACGTTTGGTACGTGGGGCAAACACTTCGGTTCCGTCCACCGGAAGCATTTACCCGGTGATCGGACAAACTTTTCGATGCCGAGAATGGGGGAGGAGGGCGGCGATATTTTTCTAGTTGTGGTCTCCTTTCTCTATCTTCGCTTTTATTTTTTCTCACTCAAAATTCCGTTATGTTCCCTTTGTTTCCTAATTCACCGAAATGACCTACAATTAATTAAACAAACACATAATCAACCCGCACAGCACGCTGGCTGCAGTTATCCGGCGTCTACTTGATCGTGATTGGGACGTCAAGATCAGTCATGTGTTCCGTGAGAGTAATTATGTTGCCGATTTCATGGCCTCTGTTGGCCACTCTTTGCCTGTTGGATGTCATATGTTAGACGACCCAGGACCTAGCCTGAGATACTGGCTTTTGTTCGATGTGATAGGGGTTCAAACACCCCGTTATATTAATGAATAAGGGTAGAGCGCCCCTCTGCGCTCTGTTTATCACCAAAAAAAAAAACACATAATCATGTAATTGTGAGTTGTGACATAAAATTTTAGGAGCTTAAGAATATTAGTTCCATAGTTTCACTATCCAAAATCCATGAAAAACTGTTATCAGATTAGGAGTAATTTATTATGTTTTTATGTTAAGTAGATTATAATCTCGGATAAAAATGTTATACAATATACTTTTACTATAATTCTCGGTTCATTCCTCTCCTCTCAAATTCATAATCCAAATTATATTCTTAATATAACCATCCGAGATTTCTCCTAAAATCCTTTATAAATCATTCTCTAATGTCTAGATGAGAACATAGCGTTCTTTTTCCCCCTCCTTTTTACTATTGTACGGACACAAATTACGAATATACATGAAAAACAAAAGTTGTGGTCCTTTATTAGCTACAATTTCGATCTTGCTGATATTTTTGGTTTCATTCACTATTTTGCATGAAAAATTGATCAATGTAGCAATAATGAAACGGGATGTCGTAAGTTCCTAACTATTCAATCAATCAAGGTGCTGAGAAGTATTCAAAAAGTGGGAGCTCTAAAGAGATTATTCAAATAATCTTTGAAACCAAATGAGAAGTATCATCACCTAACCAGCCCTAACTTATTGACCTCAAGGAGTCAAGGGAAAACAAATTGGAGTTCCTCATCTAATCCTTTAGCAGATTCCTCAACTCCAAACACAATATATGGGTCAGCCATGAATTGGTCGAACAACTGATTCGACACTCGTGCGGCTTTCATCCTAACAACTTCTTCATATTCCCGAAGCAAAAATCGGACAATAGTATCCGGGGAAAATCAAATAACAGTGTATATGGGGAGTACACCTTATAGCATGCACTCCACGACGTTCTTCCTTCAATGATAGTCAGTAATCTATCTCCACTCATAACCCCATTACACAACACAACTAGTCGTGGGAGGTCTCGCATGACAAATCCACCTTAGGTCGTCGAACGAAAAAATCAATGTCATGTAGACGCCATACTCGAAAAATCAATGTCTTGGTCTCACAAGGGCATATCATATATTGTAACTGACAAAACGTACAGTGGTACAGGAAACCATGCAACAGAGCCATAACTGTATTTGTCGTTCTGCTGAGAAATGATCGAGTGCAACACACACACACACAATTCACACTATTCGGAAGTTAAGGTAAGCCACAAAAATCCCATCCAATGAAGAAAAGACCATACATCTATGTATTATTCAAGGCCGCCGAGTTCATCAACTTTTTACCCCACAACTTTTCTCGTCATACTTCTGCCAGATTGGAGTTTTGTTGCTAACCTGAGAAACATGTCACTGCTTCCCCCGTTCCACTGCCCTCCGGTCTTCATTGAAGGTGCTCTGGTGCTAGACGGGCCCATCGTCTGATGTTTGCGGGGTCCCATGTTCATGCTCCCAAACTTATCTGCCAAATCTGAGTTTGCAACACCACCTGCTCTCCCCTTGAGCGTTGAAGCTGTGTACGCAAAATAGTTCGTCATTTCCCCAAGTTTCACCTAAAGGGGGCATCATGTATTCAACTCAATAGACAAGAGTCCAAGAATCTTACTAGGGCTTTTCCTGTCGGAAGGATGGTATTTTGGCTGTCTGTCTAAACTCTTCAATGTTTTGGCTTCCTTATTCTCATCCTGTCATCACAAACAAAAACAAAAAAGACAAGAAATGAGAATTGATAACATATAGGCGACCAAAGTATAAACCAAACTCAATGGGGTGTCAACAGGCTGTGTTCGAATTCCTTCTCCTAATGGTCAAGAAGATAAATCCAAAATATAAAGACATTGTCAGTACAAGTAGTGGCGTTTAACATTTATGTGGACTGTGGTTACAGTGAATAACATCAAATAGCATCTATCTCAAAAATCTATTATCTATTAACGTTGTTTTGGGTACATACAACTCAACCTTGTAGTGTCCCTCTTCACTCCATACTTCGTTTTATAAATCACTCTAAACACTAGTCAAGGACAAATCTATAATGGTTTTAAATTAGAGAGATGACACTCTCTTTGCAACCATAACGACCACTACAGCCGCCATAATGTCATTGTTCGAGAAAGACAATTCAGCTATATATGAAACAGAAAGAACAACAATAGAACATATTGGATGTTTTACCTGCTTAACCAGATTAAGTTTCCGCTGGACCCCTACAAAGACAAAGCATATAGATTATTCAGGTGATCAAATCATTTGAACATATGTCACATTTACCAAGGTTTGATCCTGTTAGCATCAGACACTTCCACCCAATACCAAGGATTAAACTAGATTACATAACATATCAAAGCAAACATCAAATAAGACAATATTCAGTGTTACATTTGTTTCTTGACCATGTCACATGAATGACCACCAATTATGCAATAATATCAGCATATTCAATTCCATGTGGGCATTTGACAGACACTACTGGTACAAGATGGCAGACACCGAGTCACAATGAAGTCAAGCCATTTGCCTTAATGGTACCACAATTTGAATAGAACTAACCTGTGCTTAGTGAAGCATGCAACTTTACAGTAGCACAATTTGGAACCAGCTTTGAACTAGGCAAAGTGGAAGAGCATCTTCTAGCACATTGTTGCTCCATTGAACCCTTCATTGCAGCTGATACATGCCAAACCAAAATAAGGCCACCTCATAGTAAATAACATGCCAATCTAATGCATCAGGTTTCAAGAGAACAAACCAGGAGGCGTCCTAGTAATAGATGATCTCGAGCGGAGTGATGGTGGAAAATATAGAACTCAAATAGAAACAGAAGGAACTGCAACATACCGTGATCAGTTTAATTGCATCATCGTTGGCAGAAGGTAGCATTGAAGAAAGGTGCACACCAAAAACTGCAATGTTAACCACAAAATTGATCATCAAATAGTGACAAGCTAGCACACAAGAGTCGTTGAAGTTGGACAAATCTTGCCCTAGGGAATTTGTAGTTTATACTGGATGCAAGTTCTAGACCCTCAGCCCATGTGTCCATTGTTGGAGTTCCTATTGCACTACATATTTTGTGAATCTCATATGCTTCACTGCATAAGCACAATGGTCAAGGAGCAAGCCAGATAAAATGTTAGCCACTTCTAACAACCCATCCCAACATTACAAATCCTAACCAAGAACAAGATATCTATACCTGCTACCAGGGAAAAGCGGTTGTAAACTGAAGAGCTCTGCTATGATAGCACTCATTGCCCACATATCTTAAAAGAGAGCAAACACTGAAGGCACTGCAACCACAAAAAGAATTTGTGGCGACGTGAGGCAACTAGTAATCTAAAACCAACTAAATGGACAACTCAAGATTGTCCCCCCTGAAGACTTCGACATGATTACTCTTCTTGTATTCCAGATAATCTACTACCAAAAATCTGGAACAGTAGATGCTTTTGTGTCAGCAATTCACTGCAAACATAAGAAGGATTTGTCAGACAACATGAAAAGTTCAAGAGGAAGAGAGATGAAATAAAAAGGTATATATGGGCTTACTTGAACCAATGCACTAATGATCCAACACCAATTTCAGAAGAACTTTGCATCGCACCTCCAACAATCTTTATTAAGGACAGTCATTCCACTAAGTGCAATTGACAAAGGAAACCAAAAGAAAATCTCCAAGCACAAGAAACCGCCAATCGAGCACTTCTTGGAATGTAAAAGTCCGAAACTGGTAGCATTTACATCAGATGTGCACTTACTCCATGTCTTATGAAAGTGAACAAAGCCTTTTAGATCTAAGTCTGGCAGAGCCTAACCAAAAAAGGGAAAGAGAGGATGATTATGAATTTTGATAAGATCAGAGCAACAATCAATAATACAAGTTTAAATGCACACAAACAATATAGAACATCATAAACAGAGTAATAGTCAACCAAACCTTTTTCATAGACTCATAGTCTCTAACATTGCAAAATAAACACAACATTATGGCCCATATTAAGGATGAGAAGATGAGGTCCCTACGAAGGTACTGGGAATTTGAAAAAATAATGTCCATTGTCCTGTTTAATAGAGGTTGTTTGTGTATATACATATATATACATCGATTCAACACACAAATACAAATTTGCTTTCATTTAGAGGATGCATTGCGTATCAGATTGCAAATGTAGCTTCGTGACATAAAATTTCAAACAGAGACCACCCCTCATATAATCCTGATCATTCAAGATAAAGAATCGATTGCATTGTGTTCAGATTTCAAATCAGCCAATGCATGCAGGATAGATTTGGGAGGAAAATATGGTATACTACTGGGACACAAATCGATACACCATTGTTATTAGTCTGTGCACCTATAGCAAATTTTCTGAATCCAAAGATCATGATCACTGAGACCATATAGGACCCGACAACACTAATCCTCTTCATGGTCGACTCAAGGTGGAAGGGCACAACAACAAAAATGAACAAGTGAACCTACAGAAACTCCACGATCATGGTAGTCACAGCAGAAATACACGTTCACAAATTACATCACATCCGAGTGAAAAACCCCAAATCTCATAGTCCGAATTAGACACCTACAATTCGCGCCAATCGAGTACCCCTAACCCTAACCAGATAGTCGATTGGAAATATCTCAAAGATAATTGAGCACCCTAGGCAATCTCAAAATCCAAAATCAGCTTTATCGCCGAACACGACAAATCTAAATTCAACCTCCGTGAACCGAATCAACTCTAATCCGATTATATCAAGTCCAGTTTCAGATCCACAATCAAACGACGAAATAACACGCTAAGGAGAGGTAGGGAGACAGAGAGGAAGCTGACCTGAGAAGTAAGCATCATATGAGGGACCATCGCCAAGGACGGGGAGAGAGGAATCCAGAGCTCCTTTGTCATCCCACTTTTACTTTAGGCGTTTGTTTATGGGTTGTTCCTTTGGCGCAAAGGGAAGACGAAGAAGAAGACACCTAAACAAGGTGGGGAGGAGAGATAAAGGAAGCTAGCTTCTTATCCCCTTGGGTCATCCCAATCCCGCATGGTTTATATATTCCTCTCTCTAGATTCCCTTTCAATACCGGTCTGTCCGTTTGTCGTCTATATAGCTCTGCTGTTTGTTTCTCGTGCTGACCAAGGCGGTACCTATGTCACATCCTACCCTCTTGGATGTGTTTGACATTCATGTTTTGTTAAAGAAATTTATCACTGGTCATATTATATAAATATTTACAAATTTAACAAGATATTTACAGATATGGCAGACCGTGAACTCGTTTCTTCCAACTTTCGACTCTGAGGTTGGTTTCACCTGTTAGGATCTGAAACACACTGAAACACAAGAAATCTAGCGTAAAACCGCCCTTTTTGGAGCTCGATTGCAAGTTTGCAACAAACGTCAAAGAGAAACGGGGATAAAAAGTGTACAATTAAGCCCGTATCAATTTGTCTTTTGGAAAAAGGTGCATTAGCCTCTCATCTCATGTACAATACATCAATTGCCTTTAAGTAATATGAGTGTTTTTTTGTCTTACAGATATCTTATCTTCTCCATCTCCGCCTTGACTTAGGGAGACTTGTTCACAAACTTGTTATCCAACACTGGCAATTCTCATTATTAGATCACTGTGATGGGTTATTCATAAATAATTTTAAGTTGATGGCTTAAGGTGCTATGTCTAAAAAAACCATAGTCAAATTGGTCATAATAGAACTTACTTGTCTCCAATCGAGATTAACTTGAATGTAAGCAATTAACAGTTCAATGCATAATCCAACAATTGGGCATCTTGTGAGCGCGTTCTCATGAACGCCCTATAAACATCGTTTAGGCCAAAGCTTCCATCCATATAAGACAAGACAAGAAACAAGTTGTGCATCACTCCTATAAGATAAGATGCTAAAGTGAATTTGATAGCATGACACAAGCAAATGGCAACCACTTATATGGTCTTTGATTAAACATATAAGACAACCTTTGAAAGATCAATATCTTCAAAGAAGAAATAGATAAGACCAGCTCACAAAGTACATACATGTTAATAAGAGATAGATCTACAATGGGTGGTATGTAAGGCATCTACCCACACAAGTTCGCTGATAAGACAAGAAAATACAAGATATTTGAATCTTGAACCATCATTTCTCTTATAATACTCAAGATACTACAAAATGCCCAAAAAGGTAACCAAAATAACATAATAAAAGGGGAAATAAAAAAGAAGAGCAGGGTAGCCAAGAATGTGAAGGGAGGAGAAGCAACGACAGAGCACTACTAGTTAATTGTAGATTTTTGCCTTCCAAATCAAAGAATGGTATACATGTAATTGTTCCTCCGCGAAGAAAGAATAATATGATGCAGGTTGGTCGTTTATCTTCATTGGAAAATCTAAGATTCAAGGAATCTTGGCTTCTATTTCTAATCACATTCGAAAAGTGAAAAAAAAAAATATATAGTAGATATTGTTGGCCTATGTCTCTTCATGTCCGGATTACAAAATGTTACAAACTCCTACAGAGGGGTTGGGGTAACTGTTGTGTTGTTGCTAACTGACAATAGCTTTATCATCTTTGTCGTAAAAAAGGACAAGGAACTCACTCATGCACTCCATTGATCATCATGAAGTCTGGTTTGAGGAATACCAGAGCTCCTTCTGGCAAACCAATATCTTCTCCTTCTCAACTCCATCCTCTGTGTCTTCCTTCATGCAACTCCATCTCATCCCCTTCGTAATCGTAGCTATTGCGTTCATGTAGTAGCTCGACTCATGGATTATGGCATAACCCATTGGTCGAAGGATCCTATCCATCTCCAACAACATATACTTCATTTCGCACCTACACAATTACAATCCACCCAAAATCACCAAATGAACAAAGGAACAAAGAAAATTATGTTTTTTTACCCACAACATGTCCTCCTATTTGAAAGTAGAGCAATAATTGATCATGCCTAATTAATTGGGCAGTTTAAATTCACCTTTGCACTTAAATTTTCAGGTAATAGTAACTGAAAATGTGGGTGCGAGCAAATAACAAACATGTTTATGTCCCTTGCACCGCACTGTGCCATCAGTACCATGAAGAACAATGACAGGTAACCAATCCACATGTGATATTATGGGATTCCCTATGTGACCTTGTGGTCTCATTTCAACCCTTCAATTATTCAACTATAGTACACCACTTTGGTCTTGTTTTTCATCCTTAATTTATTTCACATTGCAAGTGTTCTCACGAAAGAGGCTTTATTCAAGAAGGTAAGATGGGGTTCCAAGAGTTCTTTTTTACCTGTGGCTTTCGGCCGTAAAAAGGCCATCAACGTGGAGTAGATCGTAGGTTCTGGGATATGTTGAGAAAGCTTCACACCTACCAAAGATCGGCCACAATTAATAAGGGAAAATGTCATCAGTAAACGAAACAGAAAGAGACTTTTTGCATAATTTTATCATAAAAACTAATGGGATTTCAGGACCCACTACTCACCAATCATGATAAGTTCCAATGAGTCCTCTGTCGTAGATCACCGGAAGCGTGTTGAGAGCATAAGAAGACACCACGTTCATGACCCACAGTGGGCTCTCGATGAAAGCTGCCGCAAAACCTCCATAGCGCGTGTTCATATCCATCACGTTCCTGATCTTGTCTGTACCGAGTGCCGGAAGCAACTTCTTGTAGTGTTTTGCCCTCGCCTTCCACTTCCCGTTATCATGCTTGAAAGCATTGGGACTCCCACCGTGCACCTCTGAGATGCGCTCAGGCGCAACCTGCAGGCGCTCTGGCCATTTTGGGATGGATTCAAGAACCGACTTCTTTATCTTTGGACCTGGAGCAACCACACAGGGCCTGAGTGGGGTGTACCATGCAGAATCTGGTTCGATGCTGTCATCGCATTTTGGTGGATAAACATCAGGATTTGCAAGCTTATTGTAGCAAGTGTCATTTGAATCCTTCTGCCAAACCGCAATGTCTCCCTTCTTGTTGTACAGTTTGAAGCACATTGAAGTGAGCAAGTCCTGCAATTTCTCATAATCAAATTTCTGATCTTCTATTGTTGTGTTCCAGCCTTTCCATCGATTTTCGTAGTTGACTGGAGGGCCAGATAGAACCCAAAAACCACCAGGGCGCAGGATACGGTGAACTTCTAGGAGATAGACTCCCCCTGATATTATAACCGTTGGGAAACTAGATTACTTACATAGCAAGAGCACATTCAAACAACTATATATATTGATCGTGTTTGTTTCAACCTAAAAAAGTGACTTAAAATCCAAAAGAAACACACTTCAAGTGTGCTTTTCTTATCTCCTAAAAAAAGTATTTTTGTTACGTTGCCGTTTAAGTGAAGATAAACTTGAGCGAATTGGTTAACAAATGAGTGAAATTTAAGAAAATGATTATTATATATTAAATTTTGGACTATATAGTATGTATGAAAAGATTACCAAATTCAGTCCATGGGATAAGGCATCTGGAGCAGTGAGCCATGTCAAAAGAGTTGGAGGGGAAGGGAAGGCGTTGTGTAGAAATGATGCCAAGAATGGCAGGAATTCCACGTTCCAAAGCAAATTGCACTTGGGCCTCGTGATTGTCTCTCGGAGCCAGAGAAAGAGTTAGGATCCCACGATCTAATAGATCGCCTCCCCAGCTAGCAACCTGTATCAACGACAAAAGAAACATTTCAGATAAATGAACACAAGAAATACGTAACTAGATCACATTAGATGTTAAAGAACAATACTCACCCCACACCCGGTATCAATGGCAGTCCGGATAGTTCCATCCTTCATTTCTGGGATCAGTTTTACCATGCGATCAACATACTCACCAACTCCATTGGGAAACATAGTACCCCCTCCAGGGAAAAGGAATTTTTCACCTTCCTTTATCAGCCAATGTTGATTCGATTTCTCTTTGTTTATCCAATCATATGGCACATTTCTGGATCCAGATCAAATAAAATTTAGTTGAATGCCAAATTAGGACAAAACACGAAGTATTTAGTCTACAATGGATACTGTAACATTACCTGTACCAACATTCATCCCTGCTTTTGGGCCACTTAATTGGTGATTTGTAGCCATCTGGAGGTGGAACTAGGCATTCCTTCCTCTCATATGTTGGAGGACAATGGCGTTCCATGAAAGTAAGGCGTTGAACTCCATACTTCTTCCACCTCTGAGAACAAAGACAAATTCACACTCTAAAATTAACAAACATAATATAAGAAGAACGTTGGATAATTAAAATAGAAGGCGAGCAAATCCAGATTCTCTAACCCTTGGATCTGTGCAAGGAGTGTAATCCTGATGGTCAGCACTGCATTCAGAGAAAGAGGACGATTTGACTTGAAGAGGTGCAACAGCTGTTTCCGTAGGAGATGGAATTGACACCTTTACTTCTTTGGCCTCCCTCTCTTCAATCTTGTTTTTCTCAGAGTAGAAGATTCCACCCAGGTAAAATGAGAGCGCACAAAGCAGAACGCAAGTTATGATCACCGTAGGAAGCCTTGGATTTTTATTAGATGAGTATCCCGGCTTTCCATCTTTATGATGCTTCATGATAACCCCTCTTATCTAAAGAGTATTTGCAAACAAACCAAGACGTTTAAGGCAATCTCAAAATTATCAAGTCAAAGACTCACTAATAACTACGGTTTATCTACAAGGAAGAAGGAGGGAACCCTTGAAAATTAGACAACTTTAGTTCCCTTACACCGCCAAATATGAAACTAAAACCACCTAAGGGATGCACTTGGAGTTCCCCCTAATCTCAAACCAATTACCTAATAAGTTTCTTTTGGCTAGCAAGGTGAAGTAAACAAATCAAGGAAGTGAAAAAGGTACTTGGGTAGATAGATCCAACCTATAAGCATAGAGGGAGGAAGGAACAAAAAATGAAACAGACTACAACAAACTTGCACACATAATAGGCAAAACCAATGAATAGATGAAAGGGAAGAGTAAAGAGGTTAATGAAGACATAAGATAGAACACAGTGTGCACTTAAGATACCAAATTGCCAAATTCGAGTCCTCAATGAATGAAGTTGTAAGTATAGTAAGTTGTAAGTATAATAAGCATACTACTACAAGATCTGAAAGTAACTTGGATACGAGTAACTCTAATTTATGTATGGGGTTTAGACATTTTTTTTGTCTGCCCACATGACATTGGGGACCATCTCCATCAATTACAGCGTTCTAAAAGCTCCAATCCGTTCATCCTACTTCTCTCTCTCTCTCTCTCTCTATCTATATATATATATATATATATATATATATATATATATATCTACCACACGAAAAAGGCATAAAATATAAAGGAAGCACTAGATCTTTCGTACCAAACACCAATGAGAAAGGAAAGAATACTAGTGCCAACTTATAGTAAATCATACAATTCCAACAACTTCCTTGAAAATAAAGAAATTATTTGCAATTTCTCCTCTTGAATAGTTCCAAATACCTTGAGTTCTCATGCAAGATCATGATAATAAGACGACAAACATTGACAAAAGCAAAAGGAAGAAAAAGCACTAAATTCCAAATAGCTTTGACGAAATTAATAGCAACAAAAAAAGAGGATAGCAATCGCCTAATATATCCCACCTAAAAGAGAAAACCCACCATGACATAAGAAAATGAAGGCGAAGTACAAGAAACTGTGATTTGGTAAAATAGAGAAAAAGCTCAAGAACCATCCCAAGAAGGAGCAAAAATGGGTAAAAACAAAAATTGGTGGCATAGCAAGAAACTAAGACCGGGAAGATCTGCCTCTGCTTCAAAATTACAACTACAAAAATGGAAGGAACATTAAAGAACGATGAGGATGTAGCAATGGTTACCCTCTTAAAATTGTAGATAAAACAAAAGAAACAAGTTAATCCTCAATCTGGGAGAGAATTTGTAAGGGAAATGAATGAAGAAAACTCAATTCCCACCAAAACCGCATTGATAACGAATGGGTACGAAGTAGTACACATAAGGAAAAAGTAGAGAAACTAGAAAACACAAAGCAGGAAAAAAGGAGAAAAAGGTAAGTATTATTGCTATGAATTGTACCTTTATTTTCCTTCAAGCCCCCCTCCAGAGAAATAGAAGAAAAAAGCAGCAACTCCTTTCTTTCTCACAATGGAGCCTTAGAAGTTAGAACCCCTCAATGAGAACACAGATTTGTTGCTCTAAGAGACATTAACCCAAACACAAAGAGTGCAATTAATATCAAGGATGAACAACAACATGAAGAAGAGAAACAAAGAGGGAGGGAGAGGGAGTTGGGGCCCTAGGGGACACAAAGGGGAAGTGTCCTAGAACCGAACTCTCTCTAATTATTTTCTCAATATGGATCTCGAACTCCCAATCTCTCTTCCTCTACAAATTCACACCCATACATGGGAACCTCCATCTTCCTTATATACAAGAGGAATTGGGGAGAAGAAGGAAGGGAAAAAAAACAAAAACAAAAAAAATCTAGCCATTTGTTCTGTTATTGTCTAGCTGAGTTGTCTCTTGTTCTATCTCTCTTTGCTTTGCTTTGCTTTGCTTTTCTTTTCTTTTCTTTTCCTTTCTTTTCTATGGTTATTGACTGTTTCCGCCATTTTTCTTTTTGGGTTTTAACGGGATTGGCAACTTGATCAACAGCCTTCCATAGTTATGCTATTTCTTTTATAAGACCATAGTTGTCACGCCCTAGCCCGGTGATGTACCATTTTAACCGAAATGTCCTTGAAAAAATAATGAATATTATGATGCTTGAACAACATGGGTAATGTCAAATATTAAACAATGTCCAAATCATAAACAACCCTGAAACGTTCGACTTAATAAAATGTCCATATTAAAAATCAGATCAAGTCTCTTGTCCCACCAAGTAGTGAAATTTACCGACTTCGTGTCAGAGTCCTCTAGAGTCACAGATCCTCGTGGTGAACTGTTGTACCCTTGTCATACTTTGTTGCTTCTACAAATCCTGAGTGTGGGCATTGGGATCTGTACTTATTCTAATTTCATTCTTTACATAATACATAACATGAAGCAACATACAAAACGTGCAAATACTCATGCATTGCCTTATTACATTATTAAGAGTTCTTGAACTTATAATTCTCATTAACTTCCTCCTTTAGTATTATGCATCTTTTATCTTATGAAAGGGTCCCTACCTCAACTTAGTTGACACCACTGCCTGCATGCTTAGTTAACATGGCTACCCTCACAATGGGGAGCCATAACATGAGTTATGACTATCTTGCTACGTATTGATGTTCGGTGTCAAAATTGTGGTATGTCAACCATGCTACATATCATCGTCCAGTTGCATACCTGAGCATGGATAATGACAATTGCATTACGTATCACCGCCTATTTTCATGACTAATCAACTACTATGTCGGTAGTGATCGATCGTGAATGTGGCTAGCCAAAAAAGGTTAACTCGTTCTTACTTATTAGCTTGTTCTTACTTATTATCTTGTTCTTACTTGTTTGCTTAACTTGATGGCTTATACATACATGCCTTAATTAATCTCTCACACTATGGAGGGATATAATTAAGTCATCCTTTCTTGCATACCTGGAAAGCTTGATGATCTCCCACACAATGGGAAGATCCAACTGATTAACTTGCTTGATTAATAACCTTGATATGATTAAACACGGTTTGATTTTTGATGAGCATGATGCTATGCATACTAAACATATTCATTCACTAGAACATGAATCTCATATATGCATAACTTAACGTAAATGGAATATAAGGGCATACCAACATACATGAATCTTATATGTGTATAACTCAACCATCAATATCATACGAGGGTATAATTTAACTCAAGTAACATGCATCAAGCATCATCATACAACATAATAAATTATCCAGAATTGAACACTAACTAGCGCTCTTAAATCACGCACTTCATTAATTTAAGTCGTTTACAACTTGAAGATTGATGCCCTTGACTTGGATATTTTACTCGTGCTCATAAGGAGAATATCAACATTAAATTGCTCGAATTTTGGGGTTTTAGCAACAGCTTTGTGACTCAGGATTAATTTGCAATATATGCTAAGTACGGGGCTTGCTAAAGCATTATTAAATCTACTAGTTAATTTCCTAATAACCTTGGATGTATTATCGGATTTTATCCATCTCCAATCCATGATTCGGTAGAGGTACTCACAGATAACTGGGTGTCGGCTCTGCATCCTTTTCTCCCAAACCCCCGGCAGGGTATTATCGGTGTGGAAGGGAAGGTGGCGTCTTTGATTTTTCCTAATCAGGGAGTTTGGAGAGTATATTGCCTCCGTCAAATCTTTGAAGAGGACACGGTCAAAGCTATTTTAGCTATTCCCCTACCCATTAAAGTTGTGGCTAATCGTCTGGTCTGGGATGGAGAAGTTTTGGGGTGTTATACTGTCAAATCTGGTTATCATAAGGCGGTCGAGTTAAGACGTCGGAATGAGCTAAAGGTGAAGGCGGTCGCTCATGCATGGGACCGTAGCCTTTGGAAACGAATTTGAGGCACTCCTATACCTCCCAAACTGCGGTATTTTATATGGCAGCTAGTCTGTGGTGTCTTGCCGACTGGTGAGGCACTGAGTACTCGCGGGGTGGGGGGCAGCAATGGCCAGTCTGCGGGGAGGTAGTGGAGTCTCTTGAGCATCTCTTTTTTCGATGTCATGTGACGGTGCAGCTTTGGGACGTGGCAGAGCTTCAACAACTGAGAGATCGGTACCCAGTTAATAATATAAGCATATTTTGCCGCAGGGTACTCGAGGGGGGTGGGGATATGGATCGGAGCACGATAATGAGTATTGTGGCTCTTTTTTGGTGTGTTTGGCGTGCTCGAAATTGGGTAGTTTTTGACTTTACGCAGTTCATTGTCCATGTTTTGCTCTCACAATTTCGCTTGCAGGTCACAAAGTGGGATTCCATTCCCGATAAGGCGATAACCAACGTCGGCCTCTTCGAGGTCTCAGGGGTCATCTCCCCTCGGCTAGGGAAGTGGTGTCACATGGGGAGCTGGTGTTGTTTGTTGATGGAGCCACTCTGCGTGGTTCACACGGGGCAGGTGGCTGGGTTTTGCAGGATCCATCAGGCATGGTGGTGGAGGCTTCGGCAACGTTATATGTGGGGATTTTCTATCCCTCTCTGGTGGAGTTGTTAGCTTTTCGAGATGCAATTCGTTGGTGTTTGGCACGTGGACTACATTTAGTCATCTTTGCCGGAGATGCCCAGGTGGTGATACTAAGGATTCGGGAAGGTCAGGTTGATGATATTCAGGGTGGCACGGTCTTAGAAGAGATTAGAAGCTTAAGGGATTCATTTCGATATTTAATATCCGATTTGTTGGTAGAAATTGTAATAGGGCTGCCCATTTGGTGGAAAGAAAGTCCCTTTCGATGTTCCCTTCTTTAGTAGGGTTCGATTTTGTTTCTTGGCTGTATACAGCCGTGTGACTTCTTGTATCTGGCTTTCTCGATAATACGAGTGATCTTTTGACAATATTTGGAATCGTGAGAATTTTCCTTAATTTCCACTTTTAACAAAATCAAGGAATTGTCTTGTGGGAATTGAACAAAATCCCACTTTGGAGAGGTTTCATTGTTATGGGAATTACATATATATATATGGCAAAGACTAGCGTACGTCAGTCGTACGCTGTACGCATGTGTTCACACTTGGTTTTTGCACTTCAATATATTTCGTTGAATCAGAACCGTCAGTTATTATTTTTTAGATTAAATGAATCTCGTGGCTTGGGTTAGAGAATTAGGGACTGAGGTTTATCCATTAGAGGTTAGGGTATAGTATCATGCCTAAAATTTTGGTTAATTCCTGCTCTAAATAGTAAGACTCGAAGGGCGTACAATGTACGACTGACGTACGCTAGCCTGAGCTATATATATATATATATATATATATATATATATATATATATATATATATATATAACGAATGGTGGTTTACTTCATTGCTAACTCTGTAAATTTTTACCATAAAAGAATTGATATGTTGATGCATTGCAATGTTCCTAGTGTTTTTTCTTCATAGCTAAACAATAATGGAGCTAATAAATGACGGTACATGAGAATTTCGAATAAGAAAAATTTTGAGATTTTGAGTGATAGTTGTGTCATATCAAGCAAATAATGCATGTATTGTTTGTGCAAAAAATTCACAAAAACAATGCATTGTGGACAATACATGTAACTAGCTCAATCAAACTATCACCAAAACTAAATGACCCCTTGGTACCATGTTCCACTTTCCACCCCTCATGTCCCTTTTAATTAAGCACCACAATTTGTAGATTGTTAGTAACACTTTATGCAAATTGTATGTCGACAAAGTAAATGAGAGATACATAGTTTATAAGTAGAAATTGATATTAAATGTCAAGACACATTTTGGGGTGAAATATACGAGTTTTTGTGAGAACTCCGAAGTTAAACGTGTTTATTATGCAGTACTGCAATAATGAGTGACCTTGTGAAAGTCACCTTGATACGGGCTAAATTGCAAGCTTGGTCACTGTAATTACTATAAAAGTTCACGTTTGCCACTAAAATTAGTTTATTCCATCCGTAGTCACTTAAATTAGTTGTACAGTGCAATTTTGGTCACTCTCCTCTCCGTTAACTTTTTCTGATGTGGCAGACAACTCTTACAATTAACCGTTAAACTAGTGACGTGGCAAATAAAAATTATTAAAAAATAAATAATAAATATGTTCACAATTTCCAACTCATTATAACTATAAATTAAAAAACAATACATTAAAATATTAAAAAAATAGAGTTCACAAACCTCTAAGCTTTTGCCTTCTCTTGTTCAAGAAAATTCAGAGAATAATAATTAAGAGCCCCTGCTTCAGCAAACGAAACCCATATCAAGTGATTCTACCCACGCTCACTTGTTCTCCGATCCGCATCTGATGGTGATCTGCCTCCGCCATTACCTGTCCAGGAACTTCCCCAAATCCCTCGTACAGAAGCGTACATCCCGTCTCGTTATGATCTCCAATGCCATTCATTACGCTTCCAACGCACTTACAATCCTTCCAGCACTAGTCTTTATAATCACCAATACTCAGGTTATCATTTCGGGCCATCAAATTTTCTTTGAACCTTCCCCCCGCGGATCACGAACTTGTCGTCGTTATCCCTCCGGCAAGCCGACCCTTCGCCCATCTCCGACACCCATTCTCGGTGAAGTTCCAAGTCGCAGACTTGTGGGATTGTCCCAGTTTGGACCATGATCTCACCGTCAAATCTCAAATGCAGAGCGCTGAATTGAGAAACAGAGAAGGTCAAGTAATCCTCGCTAGGAGGATTGGAGATGCGGGAGACGTTGAAGTTCATCAACCCCTTTCCTCCTAGTTCGATATTCTGGAATTTATTGGGCGCCAATAGCTTGTCGCTGGTGCATAACACAACCGCTCGCCGCTTCATCACCAGCTTTTCCTTGCCGGCTGATAGAAACCCAATTCTTGGATTTATCATAATAATTATTATTACTATAATTAGTATATTATTAGATAGGGTAGTAGTTATTGAGTCATATTAGGATAGTCTATTAGGTTTCTCGAGTCTTTCGTTGTAAATATGTACTTAGCGTTTTATTCAGCTCAGTCAAGAAGAATATTAAGAAAAGCCTTCATAAACCCTATTCTTCCAGTCCTCTCAATTCTCGTTCTCAATCCCTCTAAAGGCCTAGGCCGATTCTCTATCTTTCTCTTCTCAAACCCTAACTCTGTTCTGAATCCCTAATTCCCAATCTCACGACCAAACCCGATAGAACCCTAATACCAGGTTCTATCATCGGCGATCGAAATTTAGCCATGACGTCAACTTCGATGACGGCTCTAAGCCTCTAACTACCACTCTGGCTTTTGTATACGACCAACTTCATCTCCGAAAGCCATGAATTCGGCGAGAAATTGAAACTCTGCCACAGAGGATCAACGATGTCGTCTCCGTCGACATTGATCACAGCGAAGTTGCCTGTGTCATCATAGACAAGGTTGCAGTGAAGCTCGAGATCAGTCAAATCTGAATCTAGTGACGAGTACGACCTAGCCGTCACTGCTTGTTCGAATCCCAATCATCACCCCACCGTCACCCTCGAGTTCAAATCCAAAATCCGACAACGAGTTCGACCCAACCGTCACCACTGCAGAAAGGAGTTCGAAACCCTAGCGTATCAGCCATCACCTCGGGTTCAATCCAAATCCGATGACGACTTCGGCTGGAGCAAAAAAACTAGACGGCAACGAAGGGAATCAGACTCTTCGCGGCGGTGGGATGAGACGTTTATTTTCAATTTTTATAATTAGAACTATTAATTTTATGTTTTATTTATTTTAATTTATAGTTATAATGAGGTGGAAATTGTAAACATATTCATTATTTATTTTTTAATAATTATTTATTTGTCACGTCACTAGTTTAACGGTCAACTATAAGAGTTGACTGTCACATAAGAAAAAGTTAACGGAGATTAACGGAGAGTGACCAAATTTGTACTTTACAACTAATTTAAGTGACTACGAATGGAATAAACTAATTTTAGTGGCAAACGTGAATTTTTATAGTAATTCCAGTGACCAAACTTACAATTTACCCCCTTGATATGCAATGAAGAACAAAACTGTGAGAGTTTAAAAACATACAATATCATCCTTAAATGAGAATCTACTATAAAGAACATTGGGCTTTCTACACAATGGACCTAGGAGTAGGAGGATCAACTCAATATATATATATTGACCAACCTAGAAGTTTGATAATGGGTGTTCTTCACTTACAAAATTCAAATAAAAAATTAAAAGAAATATCTTATTTCTATAAATTAAAACTCACTTATTTTTTTCTAGAAAATCGATACATAAAAAATAAAGTGTCCTCCTTCATTTGGGCCGGGATTAAATTGTTAGGCCCAATTCTTATAGCCCAACGCAAAAAGAGAAAAGTGGCCCTAGTGCCCTACCCTTCGTTGATTCGTTTTAGAGACTTCAAGCTTTGAACAATTGTCCGTCCGTCCGTGTACACCACACGTCTCTTATTTGGCTGCTTCGGAAACGGGAGAAAGCCGGTGAAAACGCGCGACAGAAAAGCCGCCGGAGCAGGTGAAGTTTCTTCTCCTCCGTCAGCTTCCGATCTCTTGTTGTTCATTCAATCATTCTGTGTAGTAGTTGTCAATCGCATGCAGTCGTACAAGGGCTGGAAGTAGTAGGTTATTGAATGGGTGATATTTTCTGGGTAGAAATTAGGGAAGGCAGAGGATTTTTACATTTGAGGGGTGATACGGAGAAAGATGTAAGCACGAGAGATTTTGACTCGATTCAGGAGTCCCGCCGGACAAATGGTTCGTCTGCAAAGAGTGCGACGCATTCTTTCTGCTTCTTAGAAAGCTGTCTAATGTCGTAAGATTAATCTTCAAACCGATTAGGTCGTCAGAGAAATTGTGTCCTTCCATCTAGGATGATTATACGAGTTTCCAGTGTTAATACCAACCACACAGAGGTTGTTTAGGACGAGTTTCTGTTGTTTCTTTCGACTATTTATCATTAACCAGGGCGGTAAAACCAATTCCTTAAGGTAGAGGAATGCCGCGATCGATCATTGGAACGAGGCGGTTGTTCATTTGCTTTCTACTGAAGATTGATTATTGATGCGTACATTCTTGTTGTTATGTTAATGCAGTTTTTAGTAGTCTTATCGTCGGCATTGATACTACGAGGAGCGAACATGTAGTATTTGATATAAGATTTTCGATGTGTAATAGTACCGAGAGTTCTCTTCACATGTTTAATTGTTATTTACCTTTGATAATCTCAGGAAAGTTGCAATGGACTCTCTGTTTAAAGGAATCATTGGCAGCACATCTGAGTGTGGCTTTGATGACATAGCTATACAAAGATGCCCATTTTTGAGGAACATCGACAAGCCAACGAGCTTCTCTTTCTCAGCTGTTAACTTCCCTGGTCTGGTATGTTGTTATATGATAACTATGCATTCTTGATTTCTTTCTCCGAAAATGAACCATCGATAATTAGTGCTGTTACAATGATGAATGTAGTTTGCTGGATTTCATTTGTCTTATGGATTCCATTTTGGTTCAGGGAGCAACCAAGGGCCCAATTTTTGAAGATGGTCCTAATTTTGACATGGCATTCAAGCTCTTTCATGGCAAAGATGGGGTTGTTCCACTCTCGAACGAGTCTGCTTTCCATGATGCTGTTTTGGAGTCGGAGCCTGCTCCCCAGTTCAACCCCTTAGCCGGTAAAGCTGCCACAATAAGCCTCTCTGCATTTGGTCCAGGCGGTCCTTTTGGCTTTGGTCCTTTCAATGATAAGAGGAATAAGCAGAAGAAGAAATCCGAGCCTGGCAAGAAGAGAGAACCATCATCACAGGTAAAAAGGCACATTTCTTTTGCCACAATGATTTTGCGGGAATGGAGTTAATCTGAAAATTACCCACCATCCATCCTCCTTTCCCAGATGGAAACCTTTATATGGATGGCTATTCTCATCGTGTCATGTTGAACTTGAACTTGAACTTGTGGCAGGAAGGGAACACGCCAAAGCACGAAGCACTGGGAAACGAATGGTTAAGAACAGGCAACTGCCCGATTGCGAAATCATACAGAGCGGTAAGCCACGTGCTCCCACTTGTTGCATCAACTCTTCGGCCGCCTCCTGGAATGAAGCTCAGGTGTCCACCGGCAGTGGTTGCTGCAAGGGCAGCCCTAGCCCGTACTGCGTTTGTCAAAACCCTCAGACCTCAGCCACTACCAGCAAAGATGCTAGTGATTGCCATGTTAGGGATGGCAGCAAATGTGCCCTTGGGGATGTGGAAGGAACACACCGACAAATTCTCACTAGCGTGGTTTGCTGCAGTCCATGCAGCTGTTCCCTTCATCGCCATGCTACGGAAGTCGGTGGTGATGCCTAAAACTGCTATGGCGCTGACCATTGGTGCTTCTATAATCGGTCAGGTGATTGGGTCGAGAGCTGAGAGACAGCGGCTGAAACTGAAAGCAAAGCCACCTTCTGCTGCTGTTGCCATGTACGGTCCGAATCATATCGACAGCACCTGTGGTAATTCTTGTGGGAAGGAAGGAATAACGTTTGAGCCTATGGTGGTCAACCAGGATAGGCCTACTTCGTCCTCAGCCAGCATCTGCTGCTAACTTCGCAGCAAGTTCGTATATAGGAGTAAGTTAATAAACAGCATTGTCATATAAGTCCTTCCATATTAGAGAAGGCATTGTTGAGGGTTATGTTCATTTTCTATGCATTGGAATGCTGAACAACTTAGTTGTATTATCATGGTGCCTCACCTTGACTGATGTGTATGATTGTGATGAAACAAAAATTCAACAATGATGTGTATGCTTGTATTCATCATAACAAATTTTTTATCATGGTTCGTAAACGTTAGCATTATACTTGGAACGGTTCAATTTGATCTCGAGCACAGTTTCGCAAGCAATGCAGGCCACGAAGAAGAAAAAGAAGAAGAAAAAGAAGAGGGGAATGATACATAAGGCGAGCTCCTCAGTTACTTCAAATCTTCAACATTGTTAAAAGAAAATGTTCATAGAAGGTAGAGACAAACACACAACTGCCGACTTGTTAAAAGTGAGACTGATACAGACCACCAAAACTTACAGATACCAATATCAAGGCAGCCATCACACAATCGAATAGCCAAAGCTAACATTTCAGTTCGTCCCAGGATCAAGCACAGGAAGTCTGCAGTGCAAGCCAATCGATTTATCCGTTTGATGCGTGCCAGGAACGAAAAACTGGAATATCACAGTCAAGGAAGCTCCCTCAGGTGCAATCCCATAGAAAGCACAATCTGGCTTAGTCAGGTTGCACTGAAGGCTCTTTGCGAAATGCTTCACACTCACATGCACAAACTGCCCATCTTGCCTCATAATCGCCCTCTGATGTCGAGTTTCAGCACTGAGATTCTCATCCTCAGGTGGAGCTTGTGCTTTCTCCCCAATAACCAACAACTTCCTGAACTCAGCCCCAAGTGAAACCAAAGCAGTTGAAATTTGAAGATGAAGATCCCCATACTTGCTTATTGAGACATTCAGCATCTCCCCCAAATGTCGCATTCGGTCCACATAGTTCTGGATCTGGTTCAAATCGGGAACCTGGACCAATGTCAGGGGAAGTTCTTGTGCCAGCTCGAGAGCAGCTCGAAGCTCTAGCACTTGAGCTCTCGGCAAGGGTTTCGAAATGGGGACATCCTGGATGACTGCAGCCTTGTAGCCCTTGGTCTCAAACGTGAGATATGGCATTGGCTGAGTACATTTGGGTGGCAGCTTCTTCACCAGTTTGATCTGGAGGCGGTTCGAAGGTGACCCACCTGCACCGAACTCGCTGCAAATGCTGACACTGCTTCGAACTGCTCGCTGAAGGAGGGACAAGTCCACGGCAAAGGCGATGCAGTCTTCGTTCTGGCTGGAGATTCGGTAGTCATCGAATAGTACCTCTTTTTGAAACTGAGCAATGCACTGAATGCCATCACCATTGAGAAGGTTGTGAAGGAAGATGACACGCTCTTTGGTCAGCAGAAGATGGCATGTCTTCCCTAGTTTGTCAAGAGCTGGCAGAAACCTTCTCTCCAGCAGCATGACTCCATTCTCGGTGAGAAACGCCTTGAACTTCATCTCCTTTCTTAGCTTATTTCAGGGATTATAGGGTAAGTTTGGCAATTGAAAGCACCTAAAACACAAGCCACGCAGTTTTTTTCCAGAAAGAGTTCCTAATTGGCCTCTTACGAATTGAAATTACGAGCAGCTATCCATCCCAGTGAAATCAGTTATACTTGAAAAGCCGAAGGATCGTGATTTCTAGAGATGCAGCCAATCAAGAACACTCCTGAGAGAAGTCTATCTCCACCATTCAATAATCACAGAGTCTACTTTTTTGCTTTTCCGAAATGTTGTTCAGAGACGAAGGAAATTCAGGTCGAAAACTACCATGGAAGAAGGGAGATTTCGCTTGATAAGTCGATTGCGCACAGAAACTAACCTGAGAAAGGAGCGCGAGCTACAGAGCTCTCGATGATAGAATTCGCAGCCGAGCAGCACCTAACGGATGCAGAACCAGTTGGTGAGGATGGCGGCAAGGGCAAACATACGAAGCACAAGGAGGAAATTGGTGGAATCGTAAGCCTTACCGGAAAGAAAAGAAAGAGAACTGGCCGCCGACGGAGGAATTTCGACGGCCAACCGCTTGTACTTCAGGAATCGTCCCGCTGAGTGAGCTGCTAGCTGTGAGTCGGTGACCACTGACCAAAGGAAAGCAGAAACCCCGCCTTGGCGCCTTTTCAGTGAAGTTCTAATCGCATTTCGCGCCTATGGCTGTGTTGTTTATTTTCATCTTTCTAAAATTGAAAAAACTAAAATTAGGAAGGGCGGGAATGGTTTATTTATTCAGAAGATGATAAGCTTATGATATGATAATTTTAGCATAAATTAGATTTATTTCGAGTTATATTTTTATTTATTATATAAATACATCTTTTCATGTTCGGTTCAGTTATAAATTATGCTTGTCGAGTATGGTGTTCGATCGACAATTATGTAGGAGGCGATGACAGCAATATGTTAGCTCACAGTACTAAGAAATGTAATAACCAAGAATCCACATGACAGGCTTTAGGGGCAGGAACAATCGATCAACATCAATTGAAGCTCTGTCAAGAACTCGTGTAACTGGTAAGACACATCAGTCGAAACTCGGATAAACGATGCCTGGACAAGCCAGCAACACAACTACACAAGCATGATTACTGAGTTCGCGATACATAGTTGGTTCATCATCCACAGCAGAAAAGCTCCACAAAAAGATAATAAAAAAATGCAGAGTCATATCTCAGACGACAGAAGCCACCAAACATAACTTAGCACACATTTCCATCACTCAAAGGCTCGCACATAAGAGAAGTATTAGTCGAATCCCACTCGTCTTTGGCGGGATCCAAGTTTTACATTTTTACACAAGGTACACTGTACTCAGCTTGATTCAGCAGGGGGCTTCTCCTTTGGATGTTTAGCTCCATAATGATCCCCAAGCTGATTTTGATTGGCTAGTTGTACCTGCGAAAGTCACAACATCATGTCATAATGAGTCGAGAAGAAACGGATATCGAATATGCATCAGTATAAGGTAGGACATTCGTGTTCTCGATAAGAGTAAGCAAAACGATTAAGCAAAATGTAGATAGCACTGAATTTCTAAAGTGTTTCTGGAAGATGTAGACAAATATGCTGATACCAACGTAGAGCCATAAGCTTCGCCGTAGAATAATAAAGCAATTTGATCATATCGGTACAGTAATTCTCCCTTGAGATTATTTAGTAAGCACCACAAGTAAGCTTTCTAAGTCTTAATAGTCATGAAACAAACAACTGAACTGAAGATGTAAACAACCATCTTTCCATTCAATAACCATACCCATGATTCCAACTAATAACTTCTGAGTTCTGACCATACAGAAGCATGAATATGCATCTTTCTACACAATGGTCATTTGCAGCATAATTTAGAAGTTATCACACAACATAGAGAAAACTCGATTAGTCACAAAATCAACTGCAACAATCGCAAACTATAAGGCAAGAATCCGGAAGCAAAATGATGGTTGATAATTGTATTCTACTTAAACACAAACTAGCCGCCATGCCATGCCCTCTCATCTCAAATGTTGCCTTCACCCCGAGAGCAGGGTAGTTCTGGGAATTATCCCAGCAGTAACCAACGTCAACCGCAGAGCACAAAATGGGAAGGGTAAAGGTTAGGAACAATATGAAGAATGAGAATACTTCCATGCCAGAGAAATATGCCCTATGAAACTCTGCTTAATTCCTTTTTTCTAATACATCTCAAAAGGAATCATCCATCTATCTTTAGCATCATGAGTTCATCCATGCTACCATATTGTTGGTTTTGGGTTTCGCTACAAAAGACCAATCGAGTTACCTATCCAGACCTAAAGTACTTTTCAACATCAAACCTATAATCCTCATCTACTGAAAGTAAAAAAATCTTCTTGAAATACTAATCACACTGATCCATAAGCAGAAATTTACGCCTGAGCCACTCCAATAAGATTATGAGAAGTGCAAGCAGGAAACAACAGACGCAAAATCGGAAATGCAAGAGTGTACTGCATGAATCGATTCTCAGTAACTTTTAATAACTAACATACACAAATCACAAACACAAGTCATAAGGTTTTTTACTCCATAGCAAAGATACATGGTTTCGTACGCTCATCTCAATCCCTAGCTACTCTGCACCATTCCAATATGCATCGGATCCAAGCCATCCCTAACGTTTGCCAGAGGCGACAATTCGCAAGTTTGAGAAATACGATCAGGAAGAAGGACGACGCGGAGGCGCATACACAAGCAGATTAACAACAACGATGTTGATATCCACCACCGGAAGTGTCATCCGGAAGGAATTCGACGATCACGGAACAAAAAAAAAAGGGGGCTAGGGATCGGGAAGTGCAAATTACGATCGCCCCAGAGCTCGAAATTCTCAGCATCAGGAGGAGAAAGAAAGTGGGAGATCACAGGTGACGTACCTTACAGATGGGGCAAGTGACTTTGAGAGCAACGACTCTGGCCTCAAATTGAGAGCCTTTGGATTTCTGATTCTTCTCTGCATTCTTCTTTTGCGCTTCTATCTTCTGCTTTCCTCGAGTCATCTGGTCGCGCGAAAACCTTGCTCCCTCTCTTTCTCCTCGGTTGTTCCTCGATCCTCTTCTCAGCTTCCAAAATCCCCACACAGCGCACGTAGCGGCTCCCTTTCTCTATCCGCCTCTTCGACCTTGATTCTTTTCTCACCTATCTTTCTTCGCCATTTTTAAATGGATAAAATTGTTCTTTTCTAATGGTTGTTTACTTGTTTTCCCCTGATACTTAGCATATATTTTGGAATTAAATGAATTGAGAATTTATTTTAATTTAATTTTTTTTTAATAAAATTATTATTAAATGAGTTTTCATGTTTGAAATGTCAAATCTTTAAAAATAAGTGAAGTAAATTCTAAAATAGTTAAGAATTAAATTAAATCAAAAGGTTTCAATTATTACCCTTGTTAAGGTCCATCAAAGAAATTGTTACTACTCATTGAAATCCATCTTCCAAAAGCGCAAGTGTTAAAATTATCATCCGACCAATTCGACAAAGTAAGAAAATAAAATTCATAAGAACTAGTAAACAAATTCAAGATCCATCTTCTAAAAATATTCACTGTAAGTCTGTAACTCATTTTTCTCCTGAACTAAAAGAGCTTGCGCTACTCAATACTCATGATTTTGTATTAGGTAAAGTAGCGGCTGAGCGAGAAAGATTAGACACGCATATATGATATATGGAGCATTGGCGCCAAATTATATATATGGGTAATTTTCTCCACAATTGAGAAGAATTATGTCATACTATCGTAATTACTAAAATACATGTGTAATTGATTTGAATTTTTCACCTCAACTCCTCGAAATTGGTAAAACTATTTTCATTCCATATAATTTAAAATTTGGAATTGAAAATGAATTCCATAAAAAATTCAATTTCAAAACCAATGAAATTGATTTATACATATATAATTGTGTTTTTTGGAATTTCCTGTTTGGATTACTCCTTTTTTTTTAACATAGACATCCATAAAGGTAGTAGTCACGAGTCATACAAAGTAGAAAAGTAAACCAGGTGTCGAACTATCTATGAAAGGGCCGTTAGTGCCACAAAAGGGCAGCCCTATAAACAGCTAAACCTGCAAAATGGACAAACACATAGACTACAAAAGAGCCAAAATTTCACAACAGATTACTCCTTTTCCTACACGGATCCGGTGATTTCCAAGGCAAGGTGGGGGGTTATTTGCCCGCCCTATAAATACAGAAGAGGATTCTTGTGGCCTGACGGAGTGGGTTCCCGGCGCTGAGTTACTATTGGTGATATGTGATTTTTTGAACGTTACAATCATAATGAACTAATTAGCTTTGAATCCAAACCCAACCAGTATGTGGTTCGGAAAAACCCTATCCGCACCATTACAAACAATCATGTGTGATTTTTTTTTATATAATTTAATTTTTTTCTTTGAATTTCAATGTAAAATGAAATTTATTTGTCACACTGTTTGTAAAATTGGGAGTAAATGAACCAGTTTGAGGTCTAAATGATAATTATTGTGTTTTATGAATATGGATGAACAAAGTGTTAAAGTGAATGAATCTAGAACATTGTAATAAGACATATTCACGTGGGTTCAGATACAACTAAGTGACTAATTACAATTAGTTACACAAAACATATATTAAAATACATAACTCAAAATCCAGCTCCAGACCATGCAACCTATGTTCACCCATGAACATGCATGATCCGCAACACTCCCCTTTAAACGGAGGCATGAAGAGGTGTAAATTGTAATAGATTAATTTTTATTTGTCACACAACTATTTAACGCTCAATTATCAAAGTCGATTGTCACATCAACAAAAGTTAACGGAGACTAACGGAGGACAACCAAACTTGAAATGTTGAACTAATCTTAGTGACTACGGATAAAATAAATTAATTTTACTTGCAAAACCTTATTTCATTAAAAAAACAAAAAAAAAATGATAAAGCGTTTGGGCCAAGATCCATGAAAGGAAAGATAGTCTAGCCCAAAGATGAAAAACCACAGAACTCAAATACAAAGAAACATCAGTAACAGAGAAACGAAGCCCACAACCCCAAAAAAACCCAAGGCACCAGGCCCAACTCCAAGTCCTATCCCAAGGCTTCCACGAGCCCACTCACTCACTACGGTTGGCGTATTGAAGAAGCAGATCTAGAACGTGCGCGAGTAATAACTTCCGTCTCCCGCATCCTTCGGCTAGTGGAGGGATCCAAATGTGATTGCAGGAAAGTATGATGACCTCCGTTGTAAATATTCTGCATTCCAAATAAACCGAAGCCTTTCTAGTTTCCCTCTCAGAAAACCAGTTAAATTCGAAATGGCGCCCCAATTTCTCTCTCTTCTAGGGTTTTCTTCTTGATTTCCCCCCCAGAATTCAGAACCCAATCCAACAAACCGTCCGCGTTCCCCTTCTCCATCGATTGCCCAGTGGCTGGATCTTGCTCTTGCCCTCTCGCCATCTCGGCTTCGAAACACCCGATTGCACTTCTTGATTCCTGTCTTCCCCGTTTCTTTTCGTTTGGCTTTTGTGCTGCTAGGGTAGAGAGTGTTACTGCTCCCGCAATGGCGGATCTAACGCAAGGCGCCATCGCCCTTATTGCCGGAGGCGCTACTTCGGGCGAACTGCAGCCGACCTTGCAAGTGACGGAGCTGAAGAAGGTCCAGGCGAAACAGCAGCAGCAGCAGCAAGGCGACCGGTTCAGGCTTCTGCTGTCGGATGGTTCACACTTGCAGCAGGCCATGCTCGGCACGCAGCTTAACCACTTGGTGCAAAATGGGAACTTGCGAGCTGGTTCGATAGTCCACATGAAGCAGTACTCTTGCTCGGTCATCCAAAACAGAATGTGAGTTATCCATCTTCCATCCCCATTTTTGAATTTGTCATTTGATGGTTTTTCATTGCATCCCTTGATTTGCTCTGGCTACTTAGAATGCTAGTTGTGTGGGATTTTCATTTGGGACTTCACATGAGTATGTTGGTTAATTGTTATGGCAGATTATTATCAGAGGAAGAAAACTAGTAGAATGTGTTGTAACAAACATCCGACTTCGTTAAAACTGTCTCCTCTTTGTTGAGAAATCTGGTAGTTGATTTCGTGACACTTGATTTCTTGTAAGCAGGATTATTATTATACTTGAATTGGATGTTTTGCTTCAAGAATGCCCTCTGATTGGCAATCCCTCATTGCTCAAGTCGTCAGGGACACCAGATCCACCAAATCCTCACCTTGCTGGTCCGGCAGTTACAAACCCAAATCCACCTGCAAACTCTGTGCAATATCCTAGGCTTAATCAACCAAACAGTGGTTCTTATACTACGGGTTATGATTCCGCGAGAAATGCTGGTGGTACCACTGTGTCTTCTTTTGGTATGAAGTCTGAAACTGGTGTTACATCGCTAGGACCATCGTCATCAGGAATGCCATACGCTAACCAGTCTGCAGCCTTCCGCAACTCCAGGCAGGAAGGAACTGGGGTTCCTCCAGGTGGTTATTCTAATATGTCTAAACCAGCATATCAGCAACCGCCTCCAATGTACAGCAACAGGGGACCAGTGGCAAGGAATGAAGCTCCCGCGAGGATCATTCCAATTTCTGCTTTGAATCCATACCAGGGAAGGTGGACAATTAAAGCTAGGGTGACTGCAAAAGCAGAAATGAGGCATTATAACAATCCTCGCGGTGACGGGAAAGTATTCTCCTTTGATCTTCTTGATTCTGATGGAGGTGAAATTAGAGTAACCTGCTTTAATGCTGTTGCTGATCAGTTCTACTCCCAGATTGAAGTTGGCAGTGTGTATTTGATTTCCAAAGGGACCTTAAAACCTGCCCAAAAGAACTTCAATCACCTTCATCATGATCTAGAGATTTCATTGGATAATGGCTCAACCGTCCAGCAATGTCATGATGATGACAACTCTATTCCGAGGCAGCAGTTTCATTTTCGTCCAATAAGTGAGGTCGAGGGGATGGATAACAACAGTGTTGTGGATATAATTGGCATTGTGTCTTCTGTTAGTCCAGCAACCTCGATAATGAGAAAAAATGGCACCGAAACTCAGAAGAGAAGTATACAGCTGAAAGACATGTCTGGCCGTAGTGTTGAATTGACCTTGTGGGGAAACTTTTGCGGTGCAGAAGGACAAGAACTGCAAAATATGTGCGAGGCAGGTCACTTCCCTGTTCTGGCAGTCAAATCTGGCAGGGTTAATGACTTTAGTGGCAAGGCTGTGGGTACTATTTCTACAAGTCAGCTACTTATCGAGCCTGATTTTGCGGAAGCTCAAAATCTGAAACAATGGTTTGACAGGGATGGGAAAAATACCCCTTCTATCTCTATTTCCAGGGAGTGGTCTGGTGCAGGAAGGACTGATGTTGTGAAGACTATCTCTCAAATCAAAGATGAGAAGCTTGGGACTTCAGAAAAACCAGATTGGATTAGTGTCAATGCGGCTGTCGTATTCATAAAGCAGGATAATTTTTGCTACACAGCTTGCCCTCTAATGCTTGGGGACCGACAGTGTAACAAGAAGGTTACAAACAATGGCGATGGGAGGTGGCGGTGTGACCGATGTGAGCAATCTGTTGATGAATGTGATTATAGGTACATACTCTCGCTCCAGATACAAGACCACACGGGCTCAACATGGTTAACTGCTTTCCAGGAATCAGCTGAGGAGCTGATGGGAATATCCGCTAAAGACCTCTACTTTATGAAGTTTGAGAAACAAGATGACGATGGGTTTTCGAAAGTTCTTCGTCGAGTTATGTTTGTCAGATATATATTCAAGCTGAAAGTGAAAGAGGAAACATTCAGTGACGAGCAGCGAGTGAAGTCTACTCTTGTCAAGGCAGATAAAGTAAACTATGGATCCCTATCCAAAACCTTTCTGGGTTTGATGGAAAACTTCAAATCTGGGAACCTGACTGCTTCAGTCCCCAAGGTAGAAAGTAGTTACACAAATTCTGTGCAGAGTTCTCCTGGAAAGGGGAATTTCGGAAGTGGGCAAACAGGATCGAGTTCAATGGGCTTGCCGGCTAATCAAGCAGGTCAGTACAGTAACCAATACAACTCAAGGGTTCCTACACCAACTGCATCTGGGGGACCAATCTTGTGTAACATCTGTGGAGGCACAGGCCATATCGCTTCAAATTGCCCTAGAACCTTCACTAATCCTCAACAGCCTGTACGAGGGGCCTATGTCAATAGAACATTGTATGGAGCTGGTGCAGGCGGCGGCGGCGGTGGAGGCGGAAGCGAATGCTATAAGTGCCACCAGTTTGGGCACTTTGCTAGAGACTGTCCAGGGTCAGCCACTGGTCCTCAATCGCATGGTAACAGGTACGGTGGCGGTTATGCAAACCAACAGATTGGTGGCTTCTGAACCCTCAATTACAAGCCAGCCAGCTGAATTAACTAGCAAGTAGTTCATAGAAATAGAGGCGCCAAGTTACCAGTAAGCCGTCATCCTGTATAGTCGTTAGTTTTTTTTTTTTTGGCCTTTGTCAAACTTTTGTTATATACAGGATCAGGTATCTGAATGTTGCCAAACACAGCTTCATCTACTTGTGGAACTTGGTGCTCTTTTTTCTGGGTTTTTGTTGTGATTTCTGTTTGCTTGCGCATTATCGCATCAAGAAATCTATGTTCTGGTAATATGATTCTTTGCATCTTTTGGCCTATCAGGTTCCTGATCCTTATGGTAGATAAAGAAATAACCTTTATAAAAAAAATAGATCAAATGACTAGGCAAATTACAGGGGGAAAAGAAAAAAGCTCTAAGAACGGGGCTGTAGAAACAATTGGATTTCGCCGAGAAAGCTGCTCCCCGGCGGCCGATTCTCCTTCCTGACATAGCCCTCCCCGTCTCTCACGGTGTACTCGCTCAGCCCTTCCCCGATTCTCTCCCACATCTTCTCGCCAAACGCCCGATCAGCGAAATAAGCCTCCGCCGCCGATTGATCACCTCCGTCGCCGTCGCCGTTTCTCTCCACCCGGATCGGCAGCCGCTCGTAGTGCCCCACGCGGGTCCCTTCCAGCTCGTCCACGCGCACCATCCCACGCGACGACACGCGGTAGAGCTCGCCTTTCACGCGCCGGCCCTGGCCCGGGATGTTGATCAGGTACGGGATACCGTTGGGCCCGATCACCAGCGGGTACGGCTGCTGGGTGACGCCGGAGGTGATGAAAGCGGCGTCGCCGGAGGAGATTAGGTCTTCCATTAGGTTGTGATTTGGGAAGCCTCGCTTCAGCGTGCCGTAGGAGAAGATTATGGAGCCCTGGGCGGCCATTTGGGAGAGGTAAGTGGCTGAGTGGAAGAAGAAATGCCACGGAGGAGATGAAATTTGTTTGCTGTGGTTGGCGACTTGGCGTATGGTGTGCTGATGGTGGGTTTCTACTTTATATCATATATAATATTGCTTATGGGCCGGACTTGCTATTGGGCTTTTCGTTGCATGCTTGTTGTCGAGCCCGTTGTGGGTTTTGCGGTTCAGTTTTAGGCACCTGTTGTGGTTTCACGCACTGACATTAATTTCCTCAATCAATCAATCTATCTTTTGAATGTTTGCAAGAGTTGAAAATAAAGGCTAATCTCTAGACAATGACTTGATAGTGTATTGCATGCCTAAATTGTGGTCTAATTTTGATATAAATCATTTTCTTTCGATTTAATTCTATAATGTTTTTTTTATTCCCATAAGTAGGTTCTCCGGTCAAACTGTCAGTATTATAATTGTATGGTTTATCAAACACTACTTGAAATATGTATAACACGAACTAAGAAAGTCCGTTTAGCAAACACTATGCTTGTAATATGTATAACACAAAGTAAGAAAGTGCAGTCTACGACCTAAAGAAACACAACATACATGCGTACTACATCTGATCAACCTTTTCAGTATAATGATTCAAATAAATGAAACCCTAGAATATTACACTACTTTGTTCAAGTGTTTATCCTCTCTAAATCACATACAATAACTTTCTCCAAAATTAAACAGGCACCACTATACTACTGCTGCAAATCTTCAAGATCAAGTGGTATAACTTTCACCCTTCACTACGGGGAAAATAACCTTTTGCAACACCTACTCTGCAACACTATTTGAAAGTGTCGTGTAATGTAGGCTACTCCAACACATCTATTTTGTGTTGCTTAATTGAGCACTTTAGGCAACATCATTAATATTTTGTTGCATTTAATCTTATTAGGCAACACTTATGGATCACAATTACAATTTGTTGCATATTCCTTTACATAAGGCGACACTAGAAAAAATTCCCCTCTTTCCCGTGAAAGATAACGCAAAATTTTCCTCTTTTTAGGTTGAAATAATTAAATTTTCCCCTTCCTCTAGAATTTTCCTCATCGCGAGCTCCAACGTCCTCCTTCCTTGGCTTAACTATCGCACAAACCTTGCGAAGCGTGGTATCGTAAGGAACCCTAGCATGCCTCCACTCCATCCACTCCGCGACTTCATTATCGGTGGAGAATAGTCTCGGCCTGATTCCGTGATCTGCAGCCTCCAGAATCGAAAGAAAATGGCATTTCGGAAAAATCCACCGAAATCTGTGATGGTACCCCTTTGGAATCTGCCAAAAATTGACCCGGAATAAATCAGCCCAAATCGGTGCTTAATGAACTTAATTATCGTTGAAGAATAGCCTCAGGCAAAATCCGTGATCTGTAGCCTTAAAAATCCAAAGAAAATGGTCTTTCGTCGCCCAAAAAATTAAGAAAATTCCATCCGAAAATAAATTGACCCAAATCGATGCTTAATGGACTTAACATCCATGGAGAATAGGATCAATAGACTTCATTATCGGTGGTGAATAGCCTCGGCCTGATACTGTGATCTGCAGCCTCCAGAATCGAAACAAAATGACATTTCGGAAAAATAACCCGAAATATGTGATGGTACGTACCCCTTTGAAATCTTCAAAAAATTGACTCGGAATAAATCCGCCCAAATCGGTGCTTAATGGACTTAATCATCATTGAAGAATAGCCTCAGTCCGAATCCGTGATTTGTAGCCTTCAAAATCCAAAGAAAATGGCCTTTCGTGGCCCAAACAATTACGAAAATGTCATCCGAAAATAAATTGGCCCAAATCGGTGCTTAATTGACTTATCATCCGTAGAGAATAGGATCAATAGACTTCATTATCGGTGTAGAATAGCCTCGGCTTGATTCTGTGATCTGCAACCTCCAGAATCGAAAGAAAATGGCATTTCGGAAAAGTCGCCCGAAATCTGTGATGGTACCCCCTTTGGAATCAGCCAAAAATTGACCCGGAATAATTCCGCCCAAATCGGTGGTTAATGGACTTAATCATCGTTGAAGAATAGCCTCAGTCCGAGTCCGAGATCTGTAGCCCTCAAAATCCAAAGAAAATGGTCTTTCGTCGCACAAAAAATTACGAAAATGCAATTCGAAAATAAATTGGTCCAAATCGGTGCTTAATGGACTTATCATCCGTGGAGAATAGGATCAATAGACTTCATTATCTTTGGAGAATAGCCTCGTTAAGATTCCGAGATCTGCAGCCTCCAGAATGGAAAGAAAATGACATTTTGGAAAAATCGCCCGAAATCTATGATGGTACCCCTTTGGAATCTGCAAAAAATTGACCCGGAATAAATCCCCCCAAATCGGTGTTTAATGGACTTAATCAACGTTGAAGAATAGTCTCTGGCCGAATCCGGAATATGTAGCCTTTAAAATCCAAAGAAAATGGCATTTCGTCGCACAAAAAATTACGAAAATGCCATCCGAAAAATAATTGGCCCAAATCAGGGCTTAATAGACTTATCATCCATGGAGAATAGGATCAATAGAATTAAATATCGGTGGAGACTAGCCTCGGCCTGATTCCGTGATATGCAGCCTCCAGAATCGAAAGAAAATGACATTTCTGAAAAATTGCCCAAAATCTGTGATGGTACCCCTTTGGAATCTGCCAAATATTGACCCTAAATAAATCCTCCCAAATCGGTGCTTAATGGACTTAATCATCGTTGAAGAATAGCCCCAGGTTGAGTCCGTGATCTAAAGCCTTTAAAATCCAAAGAAAATGACCTTTTGTCGCCCAAAATAATACGAAAATGCCATCCGAAAATAAATTTGCCCAAATCGGTGCTTAATGGACTTAACATCCGTGGAGAATAATATCAATAGACTTCAATATCGGTGGAGAATAGCCTCGGCCTGATTCCGTGATCTGTAGCCTCCAAAATAGAAAGAAAATGGCATTTAGGAAAAATCGCCGAAATTTGTGATGGAAATTCGCCCAAATTGGCACTTAATGGACTTAATCCTCGTTGAAGAATAGCCTTAGGCCGAATCCGTGATATGTAACCTTCAAAATCCAAAGAAAATGGCTTTTCGTCGCCAAAAAAATTACGAAAATGCCAATAGAAAATAAATTGGCCAAAATCGGTGCTTTATGGACTTATCATCCGTGGAGAATAGTATCAATAGACTTCGTTATCGGTGGATATAGGCTCGGCCTGATTCCGTGATCTACAGCCTCCAGAATCGAAAGAAAATGGCATTTCGGAAAAATTGCCCGAAATCTGTGATGGTACCCCTTTGGAATCTGCCAAAAATGGGCCCAGAATAAATTCGACCAAATCGACACTTAATGGATTTAATCATCGTTGAAGAATAGCCTCAGGCCGAATCCGTGATCTATAGCCTTCGAAATCCAAAGAAAATGGGCTTTCGTCCCCAAAAAAATTACGAAAATGCCATCCGAAAATAAATTGGCCCAAATCGGTGCTTAATGGACTTATCATCCATGGAGAATAGTATCAATAGACTTCATTATCGGTGGATATAGGCTTGGCCTGATTCCGTGATCTGCAGCTTCCAGAATCGAAAGAAAATGGCATTTCGGAAAAATTGCCCGAAATCTGTGATGGTACCCCTTTGGAATCTGCCAAAAATGGGTCCGGAATAAATTCGCCCAAATTGACACTTAATGGACTTAATCATCGTTGAAGAATAGCCTCAGGCCAATTCGTGATCTGTATCCTTCGAAATCCAAAGAAAATGGCCTTTCGTAGCCAAAAAAATTACGAAAAAGCCATCCGAAAATAAATTGGCCCAAATCGGTGCTTAATAGACATATCATCCGTGGAGAATAGTATCAATAGACTTCATTATCGGTGGGTATAGGCTCGGCCTGATTCCGTGATCTGCAGCATCCAGAATCGAAAGAAAATAGCATTTCGGAAAAATTGCCCGAAATCTTTGATAGTATTGGTACCCCTTTGCAATCTGCCAAAAATGGGCCCGGAATAAATTCGCCCAAATCGCCATTTAATGGATTTAATCATCGTTGAAGAATAGCCTCAGGCCGAATCCGTGATCTGTAGCCTTCGAAATCCAAAGAAAATGGCATTTCGTCGCCAAAAAAATTACGAAAATGCCATCCGAATATAAATTGGCCCAAATCGGTGCTTAATGGACTTATCATCCATAGAGAATAGTATCAGTAGACTTCAATATCGGTGGATATAGGCTCGGACTGATTCCGTGATTTGCAGCCTCCAGAATCGAAAGAAAATGGCATTTCCGAAAAATTGCCTAAAATCTGTGATGGTACCCCTTTCGAATCTGCCAAAAATGGGCCGGGAATAAATTCGCCCAAATCGACACTTAATGGACTTAATCATCGTTGAAGAATAGCCTCAGGCCGAATCCGTGATCTGTAGCCTTCGAAATCCAAAGAAAATGGCCTTTCGTCGCCAAAAAAATTACGAAAATGCCATCCGAAAATAAATTAGCCCAAATCGGTGCTTAATGGACTTATCATCCGTGGAGAATAGTATCAATAGACTTCATTATCGGTGGATATAGGCTCGGCCTGATTCCGTGATCTGCAGCGTCCAGAATCGAAAGAAAATGGCATTTCGGAAAAATTGCCAGAAATCTGTGATGGTACCCCTTTGGAATCTGCCAAAAATGGGCCCGGAATAAATTCACCCAAATTGACACTTAATGGACTTAATCATCGTTGAAGAATAGCCTCAGGCCGAATCCGTGATCTATAGCCTTCGAAATCCAAAGAAAATGGCCTTTCGTCGCCAAAAAAATTACGAAAATGCCATCCGAAAATAAAATGGCCCAAATCAGTGCTTAATGGACTTATCATCCGTGGAGAATAGTATCAATAGACTTCATTATCGGTGAATATAGGCTCGGCCTGATTCCGTGATCTGCAGCCTCCAGAATCAAAATAAAATGGCATTTCGGAAAAATTGCCCGAAATCTGTGATGGTACTCCTTTGGAATCTTCAAAAATGGGCCCGGAATAAATTCGCCCAAATCGACACTTAATGGACTTAGTCATCGTTGAAGAATAGCCTCAGGCCGAATCCGTGA